TTGTCATATCTAGATAAAATATCTGAAGGCAATTGAAAAATATTACATTTGAAAAAGCTATTAAATTGGGCCAGCAAAATTGGGTAATGAATTCGGCCCAAAAAATTGATTTTCATTAAGGAAGTGTTAGTTTTTTTTATGGTAATTATGGCACCAAATCATCTCAGAACTGAAAACGCTCAACCAGGTTTGTTGTTCTGAATTCAAAAAGAATGGTTTCTTGCTTTTACATTAAAGAACGTAATTACAGCTTTCCAGTCAAATAAAGTGCATAAATTAATGAAAAATCACTTTTGAAAATCCTATTTTCCATATAAGGGAATCGTCTGCGTAGATTCCGAATTTCGACAAATCAGACCTCGCTGACACGTCAAATTTGGGCTAAATGCTTTGTTGCCGTTCGAAAGACCAATAAAGCCAAAATTGGCTTTATTGGTCTAAAATTATTGGTCCAAAATATCTTGAATAGCTAAAGTATCTTGAAAGTGGACAAAAATAAGCTAAAGTATCTTGAAACAGCAACTTTTCACATAAACGATTGAATAACTTTCTTTAACACATTGACGACCGTTCTTAGATCACCGGTTAGACCACCGGTGGTCTAAGAAAGTTTTTCAAGAGATTAAAGTATATGTGAGTAAAGTATATGTCCATCTCTCTGGTCTATCAAGTCTGTATGTACACTTAGCTTATCGGTTTTCCGGATGCAACAAAATTATATAGATATATTTAATTTAATAATAACGATACAAATAATCGGTTTTTATCAAATAAAACTTACGATGATTTTTTGGTCCCACGGGCTTTTGTGTGAAAAACCGCCTGGTTGTCAATGTGTTAAATTTTAAATCGCGCACTTTAAAACTAAGCTTTGCACATAACACTGTGGATATTCTTTAAGTTTCAAACAATCAACTTGGTTCTGTTCAATTTGAAGTAACTGAAATTGATTCGTGGTGATACATAGAACAAAAAAAACAAAATGAGGTGAATAGATCCCGGAAATTCTCGAGGATCAAAGTTGGTTGAAAAGAAAAAAAGAGATATACGACTAATTATGCTGGAATGATGATGAGTCTGTGTGGGGAGAAGTAAGAAAAATCTATTTGCTTTTTTTATAAAAGAGAAAAGAGAAAAAGAGATAATAGTGTTTTTTTAAATATTGCGCCTTAAAACAAAAAAACAAACAAACAAATGATTACAATTTCTTGGCATCGTTCTATTTTGCAACAAGCTTTTTGCCAATTTCGAATTGAAGACAGGGAAAACATTACTGGATTTTTTTTTATTTTTTCGATACCCCTCAAGGGGGCACTTATTAGAGGGGGGCGTTTATTGGAGGGGGGGCTTTTATTTTTCGATAGCCCTCTGCAGGCGTACTTAGACACATAATTGACGTTGATTCAACGATAAAAAAATAGTAGTGCAAATAAAGCATTCGAGATCATAAGTCACTTTTATCGAATTATTTATTTATTTCAACAACAAAAATTAACAGTGTTCAATTTTTGTCCAAGATTGAGGAAATAATTGACGAGGACCTTCTAAAAATCTGCCGGTAGCTTCTGGGTGGTCGTTGTAGGAATGCGAAGCGAAAAATTGTGCCGTTCCAAGAACTTCTCCATCCAGCCGTTGCTTCCAATGAAAGGTACACCGACTTCCTTAAAACGTTTAGCCGCTTCGTTGAAGAGTATCCGACGAGTGACCCTCTTTTTTTCAGCCCGTTGTTTCCGCACCCAAATTGCCAAAGCTTCGTCGACATCAGCAGAATTCAGGTGGCGGCCTCCTCCATCCAATCGTTTCCTTTTCCCATGAAGCTCTTCCAGCTCTTCTTTCTTTTTCAGGCATGGCTTGACCACTTTGCGATCGATGCAGTAGAATTTCGCCGCCGAGTGAATGGAAACATCTCTCGCCATCTTAGCAACCTCGAGTTTCGTCTTCGCGTCCAATGTTCTTCTCGGTCGTTTTCCAATCGTTGTTTCGTTGTGGATTGGATTGTCGTCGGCGGGGTCGTTCAAACTTTCACGTGAATCGGATCGTTTGTCGAAATGTTCCCGACCCGCTTCGCAGAATCCTTCCATTTCATCTTCATGAAGATTTCGAAAATCGGCGAGTACATCCATGAAGTCCAACTAAAAAAAAAATTATTTCAACAATTTATACTTTTGAAGTACCGCCCCCAAGTGTCCCCAAAGAGTTTCCCCAAACTGTCCCCAAAGAGAAAATCTAATATGGAGAGTTTAAACAATTTCGTCTGTAACAGAATTTTAAAAAAGCTCTAGAGAAAAAAAGAAAACGAAGCATTTCAGTATCAAAAAGAGTTCCCATATGGGGACACTTTGGGGAAACTTTTTGGGGACACTTGGGGGCGGTACTTCAAAAGTATACGGCAAATCAACAAAACGTAAAAATGATTACTTAGAAAGTTTAAAAGAGAAACCAAAAAATTATCAAAAAAAAGTCGCTATTCCTATGTAGTTTGTAAATTTTCGTACTTGGGGGGCGTTTATTGGAGGGGGGGCGTTTATTTTTTTCGATACCCCTCTAGGGGGGCGTTTATTAGAGGGGGGCTTTTATTAGAGAGGGGGCTTTTATTAGAGTAAATACGGTAATATTTTCTATGCAAACTTTTAACTTAATTTTATTATCAAAATGTTCCTTGTCATATCTAGATAAAATATCTGAAGGCAATTGAAAAATATTACATTTGAAAAAGCTATTAAATTGGGCCAGCAAAATTGGGTAATGAATTCGGCCCAAAAAATTGATTTTCATTAAGGAAGTGTTAGTTTTTTTTATGGTAATTATGGCACCAAATCATCTCAGAACTGAAAACGCTCAACCAGGTTTGTTGTTCTGAATTCAAAAAGAATGGTTTCTTGCTTTTACATTAAAGAACGTAATTACAGCTTTCCAGTCAAATAAAGTGCATAAATTAATGAAAAATCACTTTTGAAAATCCTATTTTCCATATAAGGGAATCGTCTGCGTAGATTCCGAATTTCGACAAATCAGACCTCGCTGACACGTCAAATTTGGGCTAAATGCTTTGTTGCCGTTCGAAAGACCAATAAAGCCAAAATTGGCTTTATTGGTCTAAAATTATTGGTCCAAAATATCTTGAATAGCTAAAGTATCTTGAAAGTGGACAAAAATAAGCTAAAGTATCTTGAAACAGCAACTTTTCACATAAACGATTGAATAACTTTCTTTAACACATTGACGACCGTTCTTAGATCACCGGTTAGACCACCGGTGGTCTAAGAAAGTTTTTCAAGAGATTAAAGTATATGTGAGTAAAGTATATGTCCATCTCTCTGGTCTATCAAGTCTGTATGTACACTTAGCTTATCGGTTTTCCGGATGCAACAAAATTATATAGATATATTTAATTTAATAATAACGATACAAATAATCGGTTTTTATCAAATAAAACTTACGATGATTTTTTGGTCCCACGGGCTTTTGTGTGAAAAACCGCCTGGTTGTCAATGTGTTAAATTTTAAATCGCGCACTTTAAAACTAAGCTTTGCACATAACACTGTGGATATTCTTTAAGTTTCAAACAATCAACTTGGTTCTGTTCAATTTGAAGTAACTGAAATTGATTCGTGGTGATACATAGAACAAAAAAAAACAAAATGAGGTGAATAGATCCCGGAAATTCTCGAGGATCAAAGTTGGTTGAAAAGGAAAAAAGAGATATACGACTAATTATGCTGGAATGATGATGAGTCTGTGTGGGGAGAAGTAAGAAAAATCTATTTGCTTTTTTTATAAAAGAGAAAAGAGAAAAAGAGATAATAGTGTTTTTTAAATATTGCGCCTTAAAACAAAAAAAAACAAACAAACAAATGATTACAATTTCTTGGCATCGTTCTATTTTGCAACAAGCTTTTTGCCAATTTCGAATTGAAGACAGGGAAAACATTACTGGATTGCACGCATGTAAATTGTGTTGTTAATAGTTGGAATGCTCTTCCACTCCACATTAGAGATATTTCAAATTTAAACACTTTTAAGAAAGCAACACTTTCTATCAAACTAGTAAACGAAATTGAGTCTTTCCGTTCACCATCCTACTTACATTTTAAACCTGCTGAAGTTTACTAAGTTTATTGAAAGTTGATCCCTTAATTGTAAATCTTTTTTTTTCCATCCACGATATTCCCATATCATATCGTGGCTTAAAAATTTTGTTCTGTGCATTTCATTTTGTCTTATTGACTACGCTTTATTTCATGTCTTGAATAAAATATGAATATATAGCCTCTGTTTTAAATGACTTTTTAATATGCTACTGTTTCGCAAATTTCGCCTTTTCTATTCACAAAATAACATTTCAATTCTTAGACACTTCTTTTTTCAAATTTAAACACCTTTAAGAAAGCATAACTTTCTATTAAACTAGTAAACGAAATTGAGTCTTTCCGTTCACCATCCTACTTACATTTTAAACCTTTTGAAGTTTACTAAGTTTAATGAAAATTGATTCCTTAATTGAAAGTTGATCCTCAAATAAAAATTTTGATCTCTAGTGTTTAAAAGTTAAAGTTTAAAATTTTACTTATTCTGCTCATTCAGTAACGTTTCAATTCTCAATTTTTCGAAAGACAATTTATCAGACGGGATAAAATCGAGAAATGCAAAGCTAAATTTTCGTGAATTTCAATCTGTCAAGTGATATGCAAAAACAAAAAATAAGAGAAAAAGAATAAGTTTCAAATAAGAAGAAAGAAGATAAACGACGAAAATCACTATAAGCTCAAATAAAAGATTTTTTTTTTTGTTATTCTTCTCAGCAAAAAGGCACGGGAGAAATAAAGAAATTTAAACATTTGAAAAGAATATAATAATGGAATGACTAATGAAGATTTTGTTTAAAAAATTGTTTTTTTTTGACTAATTTGCTTTTTAACTTATACAATAGGAGAAAATTTTGAAATTAATCTTTCCAAATTGACCAGAATTCTGAAATTTTTGACTGAAAAATTTCTCAAAGTTGTTGCTGTGCAAGCCAAGCAGCTGGCACCCATTGAGGCTCGTTCTCGACTTTCCGGATCACTGTCTTTAACTCGGCCAACGAGCGATCGAAGTCCATATTGACGATGATGTGATCAAATAAGTGACCGAATTTCTGCAATGATCTTGGGTTTAGTAAAAAATAAAGTTAGACTTTACCTGCTCAATGGCTTTTCCCTGATTTAGAGTGGCTTTTAATTGCTCATCACGCACCGGAGCCGATGATTCACCCTGAAAATTGATGGTTTCAATTTACGAGGTGACCCACAATTATAGCACCGCACTTCAGAGGGTTTAGATTAACCAAAATTGGGTGAATCGTTCTGACTTTACTGAAGGTAAATCTTAAGTATGTCTCCTAAAACAGTGCTCATTATCTAATCGATTCAAGCTTTTAACTTTTCCATGTAGCATTCCAAAGTTGAGAGCATTCCTAAGTTCCATATAGCATTCCAAAGTTGAGAGCTGAGTTTCCCTCTGCACGCTACTCATTTATGAAATTTTGAAAGCTTTTTTTATAAAAAGTCTTTTAGATTTTAATGATTTTCAATTAATCATATTTACTGATAAAATTTAAAAACGATAGACCTTGAAAAAAATAAGAGTTTCATGTTCTTTAGCGGCTTCTCTAAATGCCCCATAAATCCAAGTGAAAACAGACCATATTAAGTGAGTTTTGGTGAGATTTCTCAAGAATTTTTGCACTTAAACTGTGTAGAGCATGTGAAATTTTGTTCATTAACATAAGAAATTCAATCTCAGCAAGATTTTGACAAAATCGCTCTCAAAAATCTCATAAATGAGTGTGCAGAGGGAAACTTGGCTCCCAACTTTGGAAGGCTATATAAAAAAAGTTAGAAGCTTGAATCGATTAGATAATGGACAACATTTTAGGAGGCATACTTAAGATTTACATGCAGAAAAATCAGAACGATTCACCCAATTTTGATTAATCTAGGTCCTCTGAAGTACGGCGCTATAATTGTAGGCCGCCCTGTTTTCAACGACCAAGAGCAGCGCACTGACATTAAGGTTTATAGAACTAAAAATTCAACAATTTACAATAATATTTTTAAGTTTTAGTGTTGTAAGATGTAGATCCGTTTTTAAAATTCACAATTTTCGCTCGTTCAGTTTCCTTTTGTCTTCGCAACACGATGAGTGACGGTGGGGCGATGAAAATGATGAACGGTTGAAGATCGGCGTTTCGAATCAACGACAAGGACTGAATTATGTGATTTGTTTACGTTCATCTTTTCATTTTCAAACCCAAATTTACAATGCTAAACTTTAGCTAACTCACTTCCGGTTTCAGCGTCAACACACAAGTGTTTCCGCGTTTTATGACCGCTTTCACCTCTTTCACTGATGTGCCGTACAAATTTTTCTCGAATTCGCCCCATTCGATGAAAGAACCAGCCTGAAAGAAATCTATTTATTATTTACTTTTATCCCTTTTAGAAAACATTATGCAATTAAACCCAGTGCTCAAAAATTTCTATAGTTTTTAAAACGGTTTTCTAACTTTTAGGAACTAGAGAAACTAGAGTTGATTAGAGGCATGATTAGAGGCATGATTAGAGGCATGATTAGAGGCATGATTAGAGGCATGATTAGAGGCATGATTAGAGGCATGATTAGAGGCATGATTAGAGGCATGATTAGAGGCATGATTAGAGGCATGATTAGAGGCATGATTAGAGGCATGATTAGAGGCATGATTAGAGGCATGATTAGAGGCATGATTAGAGGCATGATTAGAGGCATTTCAATTTCAATTTAAAGTGTAATAACTGTATTTCTTAGTTAATTCTTTTTAATTTCCCCTTATAAACCGTGCTTAAAGTTACAAAGTTTTTCTTGTATAAAGCTTTTTAAAAATGTTGAACAATTAATTTTATAATTCAAGATCTAAATCATGATCAAACCAGAAAAACCAAATAGTGTTTCAAATTTGAGCAAAATTTTGAGTTGCTTGAGACTTTTAATAATAGCTTCTGTTCCAATTGTCCCAATAACAAGAGAACTTATTGATAGCATTATTTCAAAACTAAAATTTTGGGTTTTAAACATTATTTTAAAACCACTCTTCAATCAATATCTGTTTTACTTTTTTTGTGCTTAATTTTTCAACTTTGATCGGACTTGGGGTTCTTTTAGATGAAATTATCTTTTATTCATCGTTTAATTGGCGATCCAGAACTCTTTAGAGTCCTTTTTTTGCCAACATTCCAAAAGGAACAGTTGAAATTTAGAGAAATCATTTTGAAACTTTTAAAAAGTGTTTTAAAAAGTTAAATTTGCAAAATACAGTACCCTGCTTTTGATGCAAAAATTTAGTTTCTAGGAAAGCTACTCAAAATCTTAGTGTGGCCATTTGGCGATCTAGAACTCTTTTGAAGCCTTTTTCTCAGCATTATTCTAATCGTGAGCTTGGTTTCAAGGTTTTTGACTGAATTCAGTAAAAAAAAACGTTTTTTTTGACCTGTTGAATACAATTTGATTTATTTTTCACAATAAATAGCAAATATCTCTCTCTTTTTTTGTTTGGAGCATTTGTTTTGTTTTTGTTTAGAATCGTCAAGCAGCCTCACCTTGACATCATCTTGAAATTCGGTTCTGGAAACGAAATGATAATGCACTCCATCGTTTTCACCGACGATCGGCGCTCGGGTGGTGTCTGAAATTGATAAGTTTGAATTTTAAAGCTCAGGGTTCAATGTTTTCAAACACCCGACTGCGGATGGAATTATTTAAAACCAGTCCATCTCACCATGAGACAGAAATTTCTTCACATTTTGCATTGAATTTGTTTATGATTTTCTGTAGACCTACGCGGCACAACTCCACCCAATCTCTCTTTGTCTTCTTCGATGAGCGTTTTCCTCAATTCTAAGCATCCAACTCCTTCGGGTCCGCACAAAATAATCGGTCGTTTTCGCTCGGAGCGGGCCAAGTGCAAAACGACTTCTTCATACGTGAGCATATCTGCAAAAATTCTGTTTGAAAGTGTTTTTGAATCTGAATTGAATTGTTTGCTAGGTGAATCTTAGGCTTCAAATTTGAGAGAGTCTAGAACTATAAATGATTATTTATCAGCAACTTTTTTCAAATCCTATTCAAATTGCTATCTATTTTGGTCCTCTAATCGACTTCATGCAACGATTTCTTCAAATTCTTATTCAACGCCAATACTAATATATCATAAAACTCGAAAAAGACCAACAAACTATTGCGTAACAACTTGCTTTAAAATATTTGACGTTTAATTGTTCGGGAAAACTGGTAAAAACTTAAAGAAATCTTTAATACATAATTTTTTGTTAATATTTAGCTTTAAGGTGTCTTATATTATCAAAACATACCACTATGATATCCACATGCAGTGCCCAATCCTTCTTCATCAGCCGAAGAACGCATTTCGTTGCTTTTTCGACGGCGGAGACCCTAGAAACATTGAAACTTTGTGGGAAAGATCTACCCAACTTGAACTTTTTTTTGTCTTGATCTACTCGTGTCGTGAAATAGTACGCCTTTACATACGCCAAAAATGTTTAGCAATCAACAAAAGCTTTTCATTTTTCCAAATAATCATCACTGATGACAAAATAGACCAAAAACAAGTAAAACCCTCAAAATTGTTTCCTCAAGTTCAACAGATCTAGCTGCTGGAGTCTTCTTTTTAAAACATCACCTTGTTTAGTTTAATGTCAAACTTTTTAAACCCCACCTTTAACACCTCGGGCAATCGTTTTCTTGCCTCTTTTCGGCATTTTGGGCGCTTCTCTTTCTCGAGCTCATCCGTGTACATTACAACCCTGTAAATGCATTTCCTATAAATCTTATTTAATGCGATGAAACCGTTCACCATTTTTTTTTACTTGGATTCGATCAAATTCATCAGCATATTTCATCTAGTTATGTATAATATGAGATTAGACTTTAATAAATGAAAAAAAACTCATCCCTAGCACTTTGAAGCCTAGTTTTTTTACCACGCCACTATTTATTCGCAAAACACCACAAAATTTGTGTAAAAGGTGCTGGTTTTGAAATTTCGCATTTTCAAAGATTATTTTTGTGGTTTTTAACTGTTAAGCCTGTTGATAGTCCACGGTAGAAACCAATTTTGAAGCAAAAAAAATCTAAATAGACTCACTGTTGATGAAAACTGCTACTTGGGACGAGACCGGCTAGAGAATGCGATGGATCGTCGCCCTCGCGATACGCTTGCCACCTGGAAATTGTTAGGTTTCAAATAATTTCGGCATTCTAGACAAGTAAGCAAATTATTCCTACAAGGTTTGAGCTTAGTTACTGTGATCTACAAGGCGTTCAATATTTATGGGGACTTTTTAGCTCACAGGTCGTTTAACGCTCTTAAAATTGATTTATGAAAAAAAAATCGTCAAGAAAGCACTTCAGGAGTTGGAATAAACTTGACCTTCTAGATTATTTTTACAGTTTACTAAATTTGATATTCCAAAAATCGATTCACCGGAACTCGATCACCAAATTTCACCAAAAGGAGTCAGACCTCAGTTGTGCTTTTTTAACGATGAGAAAGCCTTCACTATTTAACAGTTTTTGAATCTACGAGACATTAAAAAAGTTAGAAACACATTTCAGTTTTGTTTCTTCCAAGAAAGGTTAACGGAGAGTTTGTAACAAACTCAATTTATCCGACCTTCGTGCCACAGTAGGCGCTTTTAGGCAAGCAAAAGCGCAAGAGGTAATAATTTTGAAAAAAGGAACTTAAACTTGTTAACGTTGAGTGCATTGATAAGTGTGTTTCCTTTTTAGCATTAAAGTTGTACAAAATGAGCTCTAAACCTAGTAATCTACTGGTTCCCATGAATATCGAAATTGCACGTACTAATAGTCTGACCACCCGTTTTGCCGAATCAATGCCAGAGCCCAGAAGGCTTGCTTTTTGAGTTTAAAATTCCACAGTTATCAAGATCAATCGATTTTAATAGAAAATCTATTCTTATTGTAAAGCGTAAAAGTCCAAAAATTTTACCAATTCTCGTCGGTTGTGTTGATCACGTGTAAAATGTCGCCTCGTTGAAATTTCAGCGCCAACTCTTTGCACGGCACATAGACATCGTCCTGTATTTGAGCAGTCATCAATAGTGACTTTGATTTGATACAAAGCTTACACAAGTTTTCTCAAAGCAAGATCAAGAATATGCAAACCAATCTAATCTAGAAAATTTGGCATTTTTAAATGCCAAATTCGATCTATCTTTTGATGGCTCAAGTCTAGACAAATGAAAACGATTCCTTTTAAAAATAACTATTTCAACTTTTAAAACAATCATCTAAAGGTTAGAGAACTTCAAAGATTTTAAATTTTAGTTTTACATGACCGCCATGGCCGATTGGCTAAGAGCCTTGATCGGGTGGTCAAGGGTACAATCCCGCTGGCTAGATTATTGAATTTTTCCCATAGATGTGGGTTTTTTCTTCTCTACTTTTTGAGCTTAAGGGTTGTGCTTGTGTATTTTTTGTACCACATTATTCATGTGAATAAATGTTTCAGAAAAATGTTTGACATTCTGACTCACCTCAGGATCATAGTCAAAGAGTGCTCGCAAATGTTGCACATAAGTCGGCGGTTGAGGGGTATCCGTTTCTGAACAAGGGGACACAACGAAACGAATCTCACCGCTCATCACACGCTGAAATTATCAAAGTTTAGAGCTGTTTCTAAATTTTAAAATGTATTAACTAAAATTACTTAATCTTTTAAGCTTTACTTGTTATAGCATCTCTCTCTTTCTTCCTTCCTTTCTTCTTCCTTGTCGTTTCCTATTTCTTCTTGAGAAAAGAAGGCGCTAATGGCTCAGTGTTAGAGCATCTGCCCGGTAAGCAAAAGTTCAAGGGTTCAGTTTCCCGCGATTCCAAATTCTTTGCCATTCATTTCTTTACTTTATTACTAATGAGCATTTCGTCTTTTTTAAGCCATTATTTCAAATTTGGAAACTTGTAGAAAAGATGGGAAAGCTTAATGCGCGATCAATGGCATTCACTAATTTATAACAATCGAACTTTTTTTTTGCATTTTTTACAGTGTTTAATTTTGAATTGCTTCTATCAAGAACTAAATATTTTACAACCAAAATATCTTACCATTAAATCACAGACTTCAGCCACAGTTTTCCCCTTTAATGGCAAGCCGTTGATCTCGAGTAGCTCATCACCTTCACTGAAAATTGAGACGTTTCAAATTGCAAGAATACAAGTTTTACTTTTTGCATTTAATTCCATAAAGTCTCTATGTTAAATTTACAGCTTTTCGTTGAAAGAATGCAATTCGTTGAAAGAATTACAAAAGCTTGGTCCTGGTTGTGACCAAGTTCTCCTTTCTCAAGTTATCCATAAGCTCATTTTGATCTTTTATTAGAACCAAATTCAGCAAATTCAGCAAATTGTAACTGAAATGGAAATCCTTTAAAGTCATCATGTTGATCTCTTTTTTTCCGTCTAATTTTACGCAATCAAAAACTTCTGATTTCTTTTCCTCCTCACAGGGATCTTTTCTAAAGAAAAACTAAAGCAAAAGCTAAGTGTTCATTGAAGAAAAAGAAAAGAAAAGAAATTTGCATGCCAAGCCAAAAATTTGAATAAACATTTTATGTATACCGTATCGTGGCCGTCCTCTCGACAATCCCTCCACGCACAACTCGACCGACGATCACCCGATCGCCTTCATTTCGCACGGTGGCACCCTGAAAGCAGCTTGGTTAGATAACAAAGAATCTATAATTGCTTTCCTCTAGATTTGGCATCAACACTAACGTTTGATTCATTTAGATACAAGTCTTGAATACAACTAAACAGCACTAACAATCAGATGTTGTAATGATAAATAAATGCTTAAATTGTTTAAATAAATAAATGTTTAAATATTCTTTTAAAACCAACCAAATACGAATCGGGATCTTTCCGCAGAACCACGATTTTCATGGGTTTCCCATCTTTTTCGTTGTGCGACGTTTGCGATGAGGTGGATGGTTGCTGAAAACAGAAAAATACATATTTTTTAGTCACAAGTAATAGAATTTGATGGTACAATTCTATCCGTTTTTTTTTGGTTTGAATTAATAAAATAAGCATAAGTTTACCGTTTACCTTTTTAATTAACGCAAGGCGATCAAAGTTCGAAAATGATTTGAACACCTTATTTAACCTTACACGCCTTATTTGAAACTTTGCTTTTAAGGTTTTCTTTTGTAAGTGAAAAGGAATAAGCACTGGGAAAGTGGATTTCATTTTATATCACTAAAAAGAATCAGCTATAGAATTTGAATTGAATCCTTTAAACTGACTTGTGTATGCGTGGTGGCCTGCTCGATCGCTCGGCGAACGCCCTCGTTCGAGAAATATTGACGGAGTAACTGAAAAACATTGAACATTGTTAGCTACACATACAGGTTGACCAGAAATGACTCCGATAAATCTTTTTGACTCGATCTTCACATGGATTAAATAAAAATACGTCTAAAGATCGTTAATTATACACTCTTAGTAAGACAAATCTAAAAAATTTTGTTCCAAGGCCGTTTCTATAAGTTCTAGGTGTTGAAAGAAGTAGCTCGGCTGCTGCTCTTTTTGCATAAACGCGGTTCGTTCTCAACATACAAATATGGAATCAAATTTTAACAATTTTGTCGAAAATACAGTCATGGACAAAAGTCTTGGCGGGTCCTGGGTGGCAACTTTCAAACGCAAATTTAGGAACCTTCCCGAGAGGCTATAAAAAAGTTGTCACAAGTATTTTTGAGCATTTTTACTCTACTTTTAGCTATGACCAAGCATTGAACTCGAAAGTTTATTTTAGACAACAAAAATAAACGTCAAAGACAAAAAGGTCACAAAAACAGTGGACAAAAGTCTTGGCGGCACATACCTAGGAGCTAAAAATTCAATATTTTGTAGGTCCGTCTTTAGCTGCAATGGCCGCTTGACCTTAAGCTGCAATACTGTGAACTAGATCGCGTAAAATTTGTGGCGCAATGGTGGCCCAAACTCGCCGTACGAAGTACCTTAGAGCTAAACCGTCTTCCCTTGAGTTTCGTCTTGATAAACGCACATAGGTGTCCAATAACATCTAAAATAAACTTTCGAGTTCAATGCTTGGTCATAGCTAAAAGTAGAGTAAAAATGCTCAAAAATACTTGTGACAACTTTTTTATAGCCTCTCGGGAAGGTTCCTAAATTTGCGTTTGAAAGTTGCCACCCAGGACCCGCCAAGACTTTTGTCCATGACTGTATTTAAACTTTTTCCTATTAGAAAAATAATCTTTTTGCTTGTTAGCTAAAAAATCATAATTTGTACAGAACAAAATTAAAATCTGCTATTTTACATGAGGAAATTCTTGTTAAAGCTCAGTTCTAGAAAATCGATTTTGGAAAAATTTCTGATGAGTAAAATAGTCTTAAATAGATAAGTTTAAATTTGGCTATTCTTAGTCAAAAATATGTTCTTTTATTTAAAATCTGTACGCTGAGAACGAACGAACGAACTGTCCAGCTTTGTGCAAAAAGTTTGACCCAGAGGATTTAGCCGAGCTGCTTCTTTAAACTCCTAGAACTTACAGAAATCATACAGGATTAAAAACTTTTAGCTTTACCTTACTATGAGTGTATAATTAACGATATTTAAGTATTTTTTTTTATTTAATCCATGTGAAGATCGAGTCAAAAAAAGGTTGGTCCGGTTTATTTCTGGTTACCCTGTAATGGCTTTGTTTTGAAACAGAGAACGTTACAAAAGTTCGCACACAAAAAAATGGTTTAAAGCTAAGAAAATGGCGGGTAAGTAAGCTGAAAAAGATCGAATTTGCTTGTTTTAACATTGGTTGAAACAGATTGATCTGTTTCTAGTTCATTAAGCGATTCCCCTCAAAAATAGTGATTCTATGACTTCTTTAGATGAATTTATATGAATTGCATAAAATATTAGCCTAGAAGAATTGAAATCGAACTTTAAGAATTCTTGTGAATTAATTTTCAAACGCACATTTCCCTCCTCTTCTCGTCCCTCCATTTTCGCGAGATGCTCAGCCAGACGATCCACCGAATGAATCACTTGTTTCAGAGCTAAAGATGACATAAGGCACTCATTTTAGAACCGTTTTCATTTATTTTTATTTTTCACTCTAAATTAGCCCAATTTTTTGGTGTCATTGCCATTGCATTTTTTGGTGTCATTGCCAATTGGAACCCGTTTTACTGAGATTCGGACCCCTCATTTACGGTAAAGATCAATGTTAGATACGATACGTTAGATACAGTAAAGATCAATGTTCTGCCAAGTCTAAAATAGCAAAAATGTCCTATTTCAGAGTCGGATTCGAGCCTGAAAGTTGCAAGTCGAATTTTGGCTTGTTTTAAGTGTAAAATGACTTGCTTTTGGAAGGTTTTTCTTAGCAAAAATGATCACTTTCTGATCGGATCCTGGCTCAACCGTTCGCTCGATTCCTTTGCTTCCAATTTAGGTTTTTGTCACAAATTTTGTCTAGATTCTGGAAATCACAATGGTTTTTTTAGATCTCTAACCCAGAAAATGTTATGGGTCAAAAACCTCAAAAAAAACCCTATTTTCCATTTAAAATTGGGTTCTCAGATCTCAAAAACGGCAAGGAGTAGCCACAAACAGTTTTCAATTTTAGAATCGAGATCATCAAATTACCAAAAAATTGTTTTGAACTTCTGCGCTTATCCAATAAATACTCATTTTCTGAGAGGTGGAGCTATGATTATGTGGAGCAGTTTTTATGGGTTTTTTTCTGTCCTACATTTAGGGCTTAAGGGTTGTGCTTGTGTATTGCTTATACCACATTATTTTTAGGCATAGATTAATTGTGATCTATTCCCTCACCCCCAAACATTTCCAGAAACGGATCCCAAATTGGGGCTGGCCAAGGCTTAGGTGACGGATGCTTTTACTCGTTTCCGTCGAGCTTCATTTTAATAGCTTGTTTTGTTTGAATTTTTAAATCCACACTCACCAATCGATTCATTGTTGTTCTCCGCGAAATCCCTCTCGTTTTTCATTGTCGTCTCCGTGAAACTCGGATTGTTGTAGCCTTTCTCTGGAGTTTTCTAAAAAAAAGATGGACTTATTTAACTAGGTTTAACTTTTAAAATCAAAATCTAAAACGAATAAACAAATGAAAATAAATGAAACGAGCCTCTATTTCCAAATTGCCTTTCGAATCGGCTTTATTCTCGAGTGATCTCAGCTTTTTCGATTGTCGGAGAGACGAGCTGAAAAAGTGGAAATTTTATAAACAAACTTTTTTTTCGGTTTCATCATCTTTCAGTTGAACAAAAGTTCTTTTTGTTTTGATACTTAATCAAAAAAAATCCGAAATAATGGCGTTTTTGAATGGTGACATGAAACGAAACACTTCTAATCGTAGCATTGTGCTTAAACTTGTGAACGCACCTTTTCTGGTGTACTCGATTCTCCGATTTAGTTCTCTTTCTTTAAAAGACAATAAAATCTACCGTAAAAACTCGTGTTCCTTTTGTTTTTCTCGAGTTTTTTCAATTTCTTGTAAATCGGGGCGACGTTCGATTGACTCGGCAGACAGAGCTCGACCATTGTGAATCTGAAATAGAAAATTTTTGAATTGTTTCTAAATTCTTAGAAATTTCTATATAATGCAAAATGATGAAACTTCTTAGGCAGTCATTGTTGATCTAAAATGGAAAAATTCATTAAACATCTAATCCTTTGAATATTGTATTTGAAAGCCGGGACTAACACTCGCGAATTGTGTCTGTTGTTGAGCGATTGTTTCCATATCGAGCGCTCGAGCATCCGGGTATTTTCTGCAAAAAGAAATGATGATTTTCAGTTGTATTTTTGGCTAAGCTTAAACTGGGATCTTGAATTTAAGCAAGACTTATGTAAACCAAAAACCAAAAATATTATTTTTTAAGAAAAACAAATTTGAGCATAAAGCTCAAACTGTTCTTATCGTTAAAAAAAGAGCTAAGCTGTTCAATTCCGAATTCGAATTAGAACTGGACTCGTTTATATTGAAACTAGAGGTACTAGTTCGTACTTATTTACTATTAGATGTTCATGAAAAAAATTGGACTTTGTGCGAACAATTTTAGCTCTTAGCAATCTATTCCTGAAGGATTTGAATAATTCGAATTCCGTTTTTACTACGAATTTGAACACTCAGGGAAGATTTCGGTTTTGAAAAAATTCTTAGCAAAAATACAAGTCGAACGTTGAATTTTTAATCACTTCGGGTTGAAAGATTGCTTTCCTGAATAAGGTTAAGTAATGGATACAGCCAGAGATTGTTTACTGGTTTGGGGAAACGATTGTGGCAAGAGGTTAAAAGAGAAAAGAGGAAAAGGATAAACAAAATAATTACAGTTTGTGAGAGAGGGAAATGATGGCAACGAATGGGCAATGAATGGAAGAAAAGGGGAAAGAGAAAAGGGGAGGGATGCGGGGAGTGATCGGAGGATTTGAGGAGGATTTAAACCCTGATTGGAGATGCTATAACATTTGTTGGATATAGAATTTAAGTGAACAATTGAGTGACCATGTTCGTGAGTCTCAAATAAAGAAAAAAACAATTGTTAGCAAAAAAGTTAACGACTGTTCCGCTCAAAAAACCGTTGTCGGGAATGTGTTGAAGAGGATTGGGCTTTTAGAGAAGCAAAAAAACATCTACTGACGAGGAATGGATGATTGGGTCGGTTTAAAAGAAGAGACTCAAAACTTTTATGCCAGTTTGGCGGTGATTACTCAGGGCAGCTGATTTTTACATGATTGGAATCAGCGTAAAATTCTGCGTCGAATGGTCTATATCTCATCGAAAAATGCCACGGGACCCAATCATCCTTCCCTCGTGAATACAAAATTTGTAGAAAGCAGGATAATTTAGTTTGGATTATCTAGTTAAATCGCAAACCGATATTGATATAGAATTTATAGAATTTAACTGATTCTAAATATCTATGTTCTTCATAAACTTTGAGATATAGAAATGAAAAAGAAATAGCGCGAACTTGATTTCTAAAAAAAAATCTAAAGAGTTGATAATCGGAAAAGCTTTTTTTTCGCTTTTTTTGCAAAGCATTAATAAGTAATCCACACGCTAACGAGGATTAGAAAAAGATTGTTTCAAAGTCTTGAAGATATGAATGATCAAATTTAGGAAAATGATTTATTATTAGGTGTGTGAAAAAAAAAAATATTTTTTAAATTTTTTTTTTTTAAAAAAAAAAAAAAAAAAAAAAAAATTTTTTTATAATAAAAAAAAATATAAAAAAAAAAAAAAAATTTTTTATAAATAAAAAAAAAATTTTTAAAAAAAAAAAAAAAAAAAAAAAAAAAAAAAAATTAAAAATAAAAAAAAAAAAAAAAAAATATTTTAAAAAATTTTAAAATATTTTAAAAAAAAAAAAAAAAAAAAAAAAAAAAAAAAAATATAAAAAAAAAATAAAAAAAAAAAAATTAAATAAAAAAAATATAAATATTATTATTTTTTTTTTTTTTATAAAAAAAAAAAAAAAAAAAAAAAAAAAAAAAAAAATAAAAAAAATTTTTTAATAAAAAAATAAATTAGTAAAAAAAAAAAAAAAAAAATATTTAAAAAAAAAATATAAAAAAAAAAAAAAAAAAAAAAAAAAAAAAAAAAAAAAAAAAAAAAAAAAAAAAAAAAAAAAAAAAAAAAAAAAAAAAAAAAAAAAAAAAAAAAAAAAAAAAAAAAAAAAAAAAAAACAACAAAAAATATATATAAAAAAAAAAAAAAAAAAAAATAAAAAAAAAAAATAATTATAAAAAATTTAAAAAAAATTAAATTACTATTATATTAAATAAAATTTTTTTAAAAATTTTTTTTTTTTTATTTTTAATTTTTTTAAAAATTTATTAAAGAGATAGGAATTTAAAAAAAGAAGTTTTTTTTTTTTTTTTTTTAGTAAATATAAAATTTTTTATATAAAAGGTTTTTATTAATGGGTAATTGTTGATGGGGGGTTTTTTAATTAAAGGGGAAAAAATAAAAAAAAAAAAAAAAAATAAAAATAATTTAAAAAAAAAAAAAAAATAAAAAAAAATTAAAAAATTATAATAGCAAGAATTCCTCTTGAACGTGCACTTATAGGAACGAGATCGAGAAAAAAAAATCAACAAATCGTTTACCGCATTCTCATCGTATAGAATCGATAGAAATTCGAGTGTATTCTCATCTCAATATCGACATTTCCCGGACTCATTGAGCGCACTCGGATGAGTGCTGTTGTTCGCATGTTTGACATTTTGGGAGTCTCTTTTTAGAGTCGAGATTTCAAAAAATAAGCAAAAATGGTTTCAAAATGAGCACCTCGAATGTTCCAAATACCCAAAGCTTAGGGTAAACCAGCTAAAAGCGTTTTAAACAGATCCGCTTATAGATTTGTTTCAACTTTGGCACCTTTCCAGCCACAGCTACAGCTGAATAGTTGAAGAATTTGAAAGTTTCTTTGGAATAGATGAGAAATAGATCGAATAACAGGCAAGAAGATTGAATATTTGTTGTTTAGGAGGGGTGAAAACGTTTGCGTTTTGCTTAAATCTCAGTACTGATTGCACTGAACAAGAAAATTGTGAAGCAAAAAATGTTGTGTAAAAAAAATGTCTAAAAGAAGTTCAAAAAAATTGGCTAAGGCGAGAGCTCACGGTTCTGAAGACCCGGGTATACCTTCTTTCTTTCTTCCTTTCTTCTTCCCCTTTGTTTTTCCTTCTTCTTCTTGACAAGTGAAGGTCCCGGATAGGTCAATGGTTAGAGCAATTGCCGTGAAAGCAAAAGATTCAATCGCCTCTCCGAAAATCTGCTTTTTCTTGCCAATTCCTTCTTTTCTTTATTCCTTTTGAGAATCTCTAGTATATGTGTATATTCTTGAGTCTCAACTTTGATAATTTTGATATTGAATTGATAATCGATATTGCCAATTGATTGCTAGAATGAGAATTGATAATTTTTTTTGTCAGAAGTCTCGGTTGCGAGATTCAGGAAAGTGAAAGAAATTCGTCAAATATTTTTTTCCAATGAATATATAATAATTTTTAGCTTTAATTTTATAATAGCTGAATCCTTTGGCGAATAGAATGTATAGGATTTGAGAATTTTAAGAAGAAATTCTTGTGTTTCAATTTGAAGAAGGTAAAAACGGTGCTTTTCCGAATAATATAAGAAGTGTTTCAGTTCATTCAACAGAGATCAATTCATTCAATTCAATCTTTTAACTTGAATACTTTTTTTGTTGCTATAGCAAAGATCTAGATGAATATTACTGTTGTGTTGCTGTTGTTTCAAATATCGATAATGGTCGGGCTAGAGGTAAAAGTCAGTTTATTTGGTGGGGAGGAAATCTGCGAATAACCAGTTTCCGGCGCAAAAAGTGGCATATGATTGCGATTTGGAGCTGACTTTTTGTCTCTTTTACTCAAAAAAAGCAAAATTCTATTGAATGAGCCAGAAATTTGCGTGTTTCAATTGGAAAAACCATAGAAGACTCTCTGGAGTTTTTCGTTTATCAAAAACAATTGAAAAATTGTTATGAGTTTGGTTTTCTAGTGAAAATAAGTACGTTTTGGAATGGTTTGTAAAATTTTACAAATGGAAATGTTTATCAGTCTAATTCTTTACTTTTTTCTCTTTTTGTTTGTAAAGCAAAAAAGAAAAGAGAATAGTTTTAAAGTAATCATTGAATAAAATCTTTTGTGTCATTGTTTTGAGAGTTAAAATATAAAATTTTTAGATTTTTAGTTGTTTTAATTTATGATAATACAAATGAGTGATCATCACATCACCAGAAAAGCTGACAAGGGAAAGTCACAAGGCTGATGTGGCCAAATGACATGAGCCATATACCATATGACGCAGAATTTTACGCTGATTCAAATGCTGCTATCCGTTTTTGCAAAATGATTCGGAATCTGGCAAACAAGTTTGAGGTCAAAAATCAGTTCTGATATAAGACTTCTTTCACCGTCTCGTCTCGAAATGTGAGCTTGTGGTGTAGTGGTTAAGAGTCAAGATGTAATGTTAAATTATGTTTCATTTGATTGCTGCCACATGTGTTAATTTTTTTAAAATTTTGTTTTTATCAATTAAAAGATCTCATAATACAATAAGTAGAGTTAAAATAGAGCGAATTCGAGCGGTTAAATATCAAAATAAAATGAAAACAAAAGGAAGGGATCGAACCCAAGCAAGAACCTGATAGCTTGTTTCGGAAACAAAACTCTTATCCACTATACCACAAGCTGAAAGAAGTCTTATATCAGGACTGATTTTTGACCTCAAACTTGCTTGCTAGATTCCTCGCGTTTCCGAATCAATTTGCAAAAACGGATAGCAGCATTGGAATCAGCGTAAAATTCTGCGTCATATGGTATATGGCTCATGTCATTTGGCCACATCAGCCTTCTGGCCTTCCCCTGCGAGGGCCTTCCCCTGCAAGGCAACGATTTGACGAAGTCTGAAAAGCATGTCATCAAATGAAATGCAATTGAAAGGAGATGCGATTTAAATAAAAGTGAAGTGGGGAAATTTAGATACAATAAAATCCTTGGTGCTGTGAAAAAAAAAGGTGAGTTTCAACCTAAAAAACTATCCAAGCCTCGATCACTCTTTATGATTTGAAATATATCATAAAAAATGTCATTTCACTCTAGTTTAGGCAGGAGAACAGTAATAAACCTTTTGCTAAATCCGTGGCTATTTAAACATTTTAGAAAGTTGATGCTGAATTGTAACTGTGCGAAAATCTGTGAGAAATTGAGGATTGTATTTTGTATATATGTTGTGTCCGATTTAGATTTCCGTCCGATTTAGATTCAATCTAAATCGGACGTCTTATATAGATTGAACAATAATATAAACATGTTTAGTATATGTTCTTAAGCGTTTTCTCTAGTTTTCTGCATTTTCAAAGGTCTTTTATTGATTATTTCATAGTTGGGTTTTCTTTTCAGAAAAAGACAGTAACAGACCTTTGAAAAATGCAGAAAACTACAGAAAACGCTTAAGAACATATATTAAACATGTTTATATTATTGTTCAATCTTATATAAGACGTCCGATTTAGATTGAGTCTAAATCGGACGTCCGATATAGACTGTAATCTAAATCGGACGTCCGCGATAAGTTCAATCTAAATCGGACGGAAATCTAAATCGGACACAACATATATAAATACTTTATTTAGAAAGAAATAAAGTGCGAGTTGTATAGAAAAAAAAGGAAAAATTCTTTGTAAACAGAATGTTTAAAAAATAGCTAATAATCAAAAAGCTGGAGACTTAGCCGGAAATTTTGGTTTGCAGCCTGCTGATGAAAGGCATGGGTTTCAAGACAGCCAGATCAAAGCCTTATTCAAACTTTAGCCACTCGAAGGTTATTGCTATTTTACACAAAACCAACAAATCTAGATATTACTTTAAAAAACGAAGATATTTTGAGAATCGTTTGTTCGATTCAATAAATGTGAAGAGTGTGGAAAATCTGTGAGCGAACGAACACCCAGAGGGGTTACATATGAAGTCAAGTACGCTCTTTGCAATCATAAGCAGACAGAATGAGGAAAAGAAAAGAATGACCTGAAGGGGGAATGAGTGAACAAGCAATGAATGAAAAAGGGGAAAAGGGAAGAAGGCTCAAACGGGAAGAGTTGACACTTTGTGTTTAGAACGGACGAGGAGGGAGAAGGGTGAAGTGGCTCCCGCTTTGAGGGGAAACAGGGATGAGGTTCTGAGAAAAGAAAGGAGATAACAAACAATGGTCAATAAATAACAACAAGTGATAATGATAGGGATGCAATTGGTTTGTCACTGTCTCCTTGTGAAAACATTTTGCTAAATGGTAAAATTCTGCTCCGATCTGAAACGTGTGAATTTGACAAACGCAAAATGGGAATTTGGAGTTTATCCTTTTTGAAACTTGAGCAGAAATATTTTATAGTTTGGTTTTTTATGGGGTCCTTTTTATGGGGCATTCTGATTTGAGCTTTCAGCTCGGCATTAGAAGAACAGCTCGGCACTAAAAGAACAGCTCGGCATTAGAAGAACAGCTCGGCATCAAAGAACAAGAAAACGAGTGCCTATGTTAACGCACAGAGAAATTATATATTTAATTATATATCCAGAACTAGGTAGCCTAGTTCTTTGAAACTTCTAAATTATAATTGAAAATAAAAACTGTAAGCAAAACAAGATTGAATTTGATCAATGCAAAAGCTATTAAACAAAAGAAAGGCCGCTTTCATGGCACTTGCAACTTTCAAATATAAAAACATAAAAACACACGTTCAAAAAGACAAAAAAACTCGAATTTCATTTCAAATTTTCAGGTGCTAAAAAGCATAACGGCTCATTTGATGGGTGGATGGTTAACGGATTTGTGGGGAAATTGTCGGGATTTCGGGGAAAGAGAGGGAGTCCCTTTCTCTTTTAAGTAAGCACAAGGTCATTTCTGAGAGAAAAAATTGGGGGTGCAAAGGGAAAAATCCCCTTTGCTCCAAATAATAGATTACTTGCTTTAATCATGTACTTTGTGCCAGCAAATGTGCAAATGCACACTTTTTGGCGCACTAAATTTCTAACAGCAATGCTTTGGTTGAAGAATTGAGGACGCCAGAGGGAATGCGTTTACACTTGAACGCAAAGAACATAATGGTAAATATATTAGGTTGGTGCATAAATATTTACAATTTTTTTTGTCAGATTTTTGTTCTCATGAAAAAAATTCTTTGCAAAATTTGTTACGTCCTAAACTATTAAAAAGGTTTACCATTTCTCTACAATGGAATACAAATGGCTACAATGGAATACAAATGGCAAAATGGCTTTTGAGAGAAAGCTCAACACTCGCCTCAACTCGATAAAAACTCATTTTGTATGTAAAATGTTCAATTGCTGTTTTAAAGAAAATGGCTGGACGAATCGTTTTCAAACTTTACAGAATTATGTAATCAAATATGCTCTATCTTTTTTTACTTTGGCACTAAAATAGGTTTGTATTAAAGAAAGTGTCCAACTGTCGACTTCGGCATCGGAGCAGTTTTGGGTGCTGCCTTTGAAAATTCACAAAAACAACTACTTCCAAGAATTTTCCCAAGAAATCTAGCAAAGTCTAGCAAAATTTATCTGTTACAGATAATAAAAAAATTAAGGAAATGAAGAAATGAATGTATGAAGAAATGAATGAATGAAGAAAAAGCACATTTCCGGAAAGGGGATTGAACCGCCGACCTTTTGCTTTCCGGGCAATTGCTCTAACCACTGAGCTACCCGGTACTTTCACTTTTCAAAGAAGGAAAAACAAAGGGGAAGGAGAAAGGAAGAAAGAAAGAAGGAATCGTACAGACAAGTCAGATGTAATTAGCATTGGAAACGTCAAAATTTAGACTCTATGTTGAAACGGTTTCTTTGCGAATGCGCTTGTCGGAAACGGATTTAGAATGCTCAAAAAAGAAGTAAAAAAAACATTGCTTACCTTGAGGCTTATTTGACGAGAAAACACAATGGGAGACCGCTTTTTGAGAAAAACGTTGAACTCGCGATCAAAAGTTTCAGAGCTTTCTGTGAAAACAAGTGTATTTAAAAAAAAAACTACCAAAAACTTTTGCAACTTATTACTTTCAAAAGTTCACTTCAAATCAAGAGTGTTCAATCCAAATTATTCAATCTTTTAACGTAAAAATTTTCGAATCTTTCAAATTCTGAGAAGAAAAATGAATTGAGTGCACTAGAAAGGAAGCATTTACATATTTTTAGAAAGTACAAAGTATTGGGTTGGGGAGAATGAGTCGGCGCCGAAAATCAAAGAAATTTCTAAAACTTATAGCAGACTTTGTCAAATGTTATGCGTTTGATATCCGTAGAAGGGTAACTAATTCTCTACAAAATAATATTTAAAAGAGAACTCAAACAGCGCCTCAACTCAACAAAGGATCATTTTTTCACAAAATCGATAAACTGTCATCTAGAGTAAACGGTTGGAGGGATCTTCCTGAAAATTTGGTAACTTATGTAATTGAGTGTGCTCTATCTTTTTTATATAAACACCAAAGGAGGTTTATGTGGAAGAAACTGTTCAAGCAATGAGTGTGGAAGAAACGGACTTTTTGTCATTTTGATTAGCTGTGTTTGGGAATCCATAAAATCCCAAAAAAGAAAAGCTTTGTGGAATCTCTCAAAAGCCATTTTGTAAAGAAATAGTGGACCATTTTGATGAAACAAAACGTGTATTTAAAGAAGGTTTTATGGGTGCAAAAAGTTTCTTTAAATTTCGGCGCCGACTCATTCTCCCCAACCCAATACATATAAAAGACGTACTCTAACTTTGCTTATTTAGAAGAAATTTTGCTAAATTTTTGAGACTAGAGAGATTTCTAAAGACAGAAATCGGCTTCGATCTGTCGATGAGATCAAAATCTCCGTGAAGCCGAGCCGATCAAAATCTCCTTGTTTCTTGCATAAAACGACTTTTTTTTGTTTCAATTTATGAGCGATTTTATTGAAATAAGTATTATTAGTGAGTTCTCAAACATGTTTTATTATCAAAGAGAAATTCTAAAATTTTGGCAACACTAATTTTTAAAGGAGAAAAAAAACGAGTCATTATATGCAAAATGAGGCCGAAGAATGGGCATCAATTTACCCCCAAATATCCCATTTTCTTTCAGCATCAAACCCATTCATTTCGTGGCGAAATTTTGTTTTCAAAAATTCTCGAAATTGATGAAAATGAGATGAGAATTTCAAGCAAAAAATAGAAAAATTGGTGTCAATGAAATCAAGATTCGAAAGCTATGATCAATTTAATTACTTGTCTGGTGGATTTAAAATGAAAAACATTCTGAGATAACACTCATTTTTGTGACACTTTCAGGCACACTTTTCATTGTTTCTTGTCTTGTCGGTTATCTCCCAAAATTTGCTAATTTACTATTTAAAATGCAGATTTTGAAAACTAAAACCAATTGTACTTTTCAATGGTTTGAAATTGCAAAAAGTGTTCCAACAAAAACAGGAAACATTCTTTTCGATAAAAGCTGAAAACAAGAATGAAAATGACGCTGAAAACAAAGAAAAGTGTGCCTGAAAGTGCCACAAAAATGAGTGTTATCTCAGAATGTTTTTCATTTCAAAATCCATTAGTACGACGTTCAGCTCATAAACACTCACTTCATCAGCGTTTTCATCACGCTTTTCACTTGATTTCGCTCGACGGAAACGAGAAAAGCATCCGTCACTTTGGCCAGCCCCAATTTGAGATCCGTTTCTGGAAATGTTTGTGGTGAGGGAATAGATCACAATTCATACATGCACACGAATAATGGTATAAACAATACACAAGCACAATCCTTAAGCCCTAAATGTAGGACAGAAAAAACCCTATGTATATATATATATGAAAAAACTCCAATAATCTAGCTTTGCTTTAGCTTCACTTTTGTAAATGATTTAAGCTTTAACAAAAGAAAAGTAAAAGTAGTTTTTAATCAAGTAGTTTTTAATCTACCACTAAAAGGGTTTCAAAACTTTTTCAAATTCAATATTCAAATTTTAAGTACAGCTGAAGCCGTTCAATATCAAAACTCACTTTCTTGTTCAGTAAAAGTAGTAAATTTTCTTGATTTTTCGCTTGTCTTGATTCGTACTTTATTACTTTATTTACTTTACAACCACTAGCACTCAACCCCTAAAACCTAAATGTAGGGAAGAAAAAACCGGATATGTATGGGGAAAAGAACCAATAATCTAGCCGGCGGGATTGAACCCTTGGCCACCCGACTAAGATACAGGACTCTTAGCCAGTTGGTCATACCGACTTTTTGTTTAGCCGCATAATTGCAAAACTTAATTGATTTCTTAGCATTTTTCTCTGTTTACGATTCGATTTTCATCAGAGTTAATGCTTTTCAAAAAACCCACCAATTGTGTCGTCGATTTTGCGCCGAACTCGCAACTGGATGACCCGGGTTCGGATACACTAAAAATAGATTTAAATATATAATTAAATATTCCTCTTCTATTGTTATCTTGAAATATTGACGAAAGTTATTGAAAGTTATTTTTAGCTTCTCGAAAAAGCTTTAAAAATTGCTTGAGTAACTTGAATATGGGCTTTTTGTTTACTCCACCTTTTTAAAAAGTAGATTTCAAAATTGTGAATCCATCTCAATCACTTTGCTCATCAATTAAGTTGAAAATTCGCAAGTAACATTGGTTGGTTATAGATCAGGAATCGTTTGACACAAATCTTCAGAATGTTTCATCAAAAATTTTTCGATTTATTCAATTTTAGCCCATCTGGACCTGGCTTGCAGGCTCTTGAAACATCCCTGGAGTCAACTAGGTCGGCTTCATTCTTATTTACAGACAGATTTAACTGCATGAATTGATTTAACTCGATTTCATCCTTCTTTTCTCACCTCTTGCACATGCTCAATGACTTCTTCTTTCGTTTTCCTTTCCGGTGTCCATTCGTTCACGCCGATGATCTCGTCACCGATCGATATGCCAGCCCGATCGGCTGGGGTGCCTAAGCAAAAAGTTTTCGCTTTTTCAAAGTTTCAAATTTGAGTCCAGTTCAACAAAGGATTAGTGATGGAATCCCATTACTTACCATACAACAAAATTCGTCCACTCCTGCCGACAATGAAAATGACAAAACCCGTCAATGGAAGCTTGGCATTCGGGATTTTTCGGCGATTCGTCGTGCTTTTCCGTCGAAGCGTCGAACCCTTGCGCAACTCGGAGAGTGCCTGGAAATTAAGTGTTTCAAGGATTAAAGAGTTTTTAAATCTCAACTCCTTTCCAATTAGCCCTTAAATGTTTATGGAGTATTGAATCGATGTTCTTTTCACGATTAAATAATTTCAATAAAACTTGCCTGCGGTATGCTGACACTTTTCGACATTTCACTGCTTCGCCGACTGCTGAATGAAGAGATCGAGCTGGTGATTGATGGACGCCATTCCACTGATAGGTAATCTACAAAGTGAATTTGAAAATTAAGAGATTTAGATGAGTGAAATGAATAGATCTAAAACAGACCAATAGGGAAAGCTAAACATTTTTAGGTGTAGAAGAATTAAGTTTCAATTTAAAACACTCCTAGAAAGCTTTGAAATATCAATGGCGCCACCTCGCGACTTCAAAATTGAACTCAACCTCTTCAGATAAAAAATGGTTTTTGATTGTTTGAAATTTCACTTTGTTTAAGCAATTCTTTCGAAAAAAAAGGATTTTCGATCACATCGAGTTTCAAGTTAAAAGCAGTCAACTCAAATCGACTCCCGTAATTTGATAGAAAGTTCCGAGAGCAACAACTGTAGGCCAAAAAAATCCTGAGTCTCAAATAAAGAAAAAAAACAATTATCAGTAAAACAGTTAACGACTACGCGACTGTACGTTCAAAATACTGTCATCACGAATGTTTTAAAGATTTAGAAATTCGAGGAGGAAACTGACAAGCCAAAAGTATCAGTTTCAAGATAAACGGCTTTACTCATAGGGTTTAATCCTAGCATATAATTGTACTAATATTATAAGCTTACAAAAATGACTCCATAAACGGCATGAAATTGTGAAGAACAAGCAAAATTTGAGTTTATTTTCACTAAAAAAGCACAAAACCTGCTCCATTGTGTCCTGGTTGAACGAGACGGAGAGTGTCCTCATTTTTGAATAACCAGTTCTTTGGCATGTTTAGGGAAGAGGACAAAAAAATTGAACTCTTCCAAATTCAAATGATTAATAAGTCTTTGAAACTTGTAAAATTTATATTTAGTTGGCTATATTGAATAGAATATTTAGTTTAATAGAAAATTTAACGGGTTTCGATTTATTTGAAATCATTGCATTTGGATGCAACGGCGATGAATGCGTTTTCCCAAGCTTGTATAGAAAACAATGTTTAGTAATGAAGTGTAATATTTTAAATGTGATAAGTTTAAAAAGTAAAGCTGTGAGTTTCGGTGATAATAAAATTTTACAGAAGCAAATAGTTGAATAGCAGAATTCTTTCGCCAGCTTTCAGAAAGTTCAGAAAGTTGTTCATCGGCAGAACGATAGAAATTAGAATGAGCTGAATGAAGTTGAATAGCTGAATGCTTAGAGAAATAGCTAGATTTGATAGGGTAATAAAGTACCCAATCAAAATTCAGATAACTAATCAAATTTTCAAAGTGATTGCCGGCAAAATGTTAAATGGCGGATATTGTTGTTTGAGGCTCTTTTGCACTCAAAAGAACAGCCTTGAGGCTTTTTGAAATGAGAGAAAGGGGAAATAGAAGAGAAAAGAAGCAAAACGGAAATATGAACGATCACGTTTCGTTCCCCCAAAAGTGCCCCTTCCCCTCTTTCTCCATTTCTCTTTTCGTGGGAAATAACCCGGAAAATTTGGAAATAAATCAAAAAGTGCTTAATGGCTTGTTATCACTGCGTTTTTTTACTCGAATTCGATTTCTTTTTAGCAAAACTTTTGCTTCGTTCTGTTTTGATTCACAAGTTTGTCTTCAAAAATGCGACACAACCGGAAGCCTCTTCTTGTTAGGCTGAAAACCGGGTATTTAAAAACTACGAACAGGTTTTTTGATTTGAAACTCGTTTGATTTATGACAAGAATTTTGAGCTTAAAAAGAACTGACAAAGTTTTTTCGAATGTCGACTCGAGTGAGCCCTTTAAATCATGACTCGGATACCGTAACTCTTATAAAATTATTTGATTTTGTAGAACCTAGAGAACGTCACACATCATTTCTGCCTGTGGTTAGGTAATATCATCAAAAACCAGATTGTTCGCTTGGAAACTTTACGTTTACAACGCAGAATTTTGAACAGGTAAAGTAGATTACTTGATCAATATATTGAATTGAATTCGAAAATGATTCAAAGAGTTTGAAAGAGTGAAGTTGGAAAAGAAAAAGAGATAATGAGATCGAACGATAATTGGTGGCGTTGGTTGTTGATGGAAGGTTCGTCTGGGTATTTCATTGAACTTTAATGAAATTGAGAATTGGGTGAATGGTTTGACATCAATGATCTTTTACAAGAAAAAACATACTTTTCCACGAATACCCGAAGCCAATTTGATTTCGAAGTCGACCAAAGTGAAACTTGATTGTTTTAGAATCTTCTGAAGCTGAAACGGCACAGTCAACAACGCAAGGCTTACTATAGAAATGCAGAAAAGATTAGGATAATAGTATATATATTTAGGATAATTATTAGGATATTTTAAAAGAGATATGAGATAAAGAATAAGACTGTGGGAGTGTTTGTGATTGAAAATAAGGAAATAGTCCATTGGAAATCGGCGTAGAACAAGGAAGATTTGGAATAGAGATGGATTGTGTCAATGGCTTTCAACTTTATTTTGGAAAAATGTATTCAACAAAAATTGTGAAGAGGTAAAAGTTTTGCTAGAAAAAGGTGCATGAAAATGTAGGATAACGATTGAAATGAGATAAACGAAGGGAAATGGTTGTGGGATTTGTTGTTGATCGGGGAAAGACTTTCAATGGGAATGGATTGATGCTCTGCTTTATATGTAAAGTGATTCAAGTTGAAACTTGTAACTTGCATTATTCTAAAGGTGTGCAATTCGATTTGAGATTAAATGCACAAATAATTCGATAATTATTTCGTTAGATATTTGACCATGGTAGGCTATATTTTCAAACTTTGATTGGATTTAGAATGTGCGCCGATGTCAATGTTTGTTAAAAGAAATGACTCTTGTCGGGTTTAGAGGACTTTTGACTGAACAGTAAAGCTTCAAATGTTTGCAACAAAGTCTGTATTTTCTTTTACTTTTTATATAGTCCGACAGAAAACATTTTAGGCTTTTGAATGAGACCAAATATTAGACTTTCCAGAAATTCTTTTCGTTCCTTTTCACATTTCGTTAAAAAATAACAAATTCCTCAATTGACCTATGGTTTTCTCCAAATAAAAAGTGTCCATTGTTTAATTTCCCATCTTTTTTAAGCCAATTTGGGTTCACTTTCAAGCAAATTCAAGAGTGAAAACGCGTGCTTTTCGTGGAAATCTATAAAAATCTCTACAAAGAAATTGGCTAAATGAATTTCTCTGAAAATTTGGCTATATGCCAAACATTTTGTGTCCTATCTTTTATCTATAGACACCAAAATCGGTTTCCTTAGTTAAAATGTCTAAACCGCATCATCGAGCCGTTGCCCTTTTTTTGACTACGCGACTTCACGTTTCCAAAAGAAATCCAGACATAAGACATTTGAAACTCGTTTTAGTGGTATTTTACAAAAAAATAATTTGCCTTTCTAATGAAACAAACCGTAGTTCAATTGGTGCATTTATTGGTTTTAAATGAAAGTACGAAAAGGAACGAAAAGACTTTCTGGACAGTCTAATAGAACTGAATTGGAAAAACCAAGCAACAACGACTTACAATTCGATCTTTTGAGACTGATCTTTCCAATTTAGTTCTATTTTTCTCATTCGAAAGCTTAGAATATTTTCTATGGACTTTATAAAGAGTAAAAGAAAATACCGACCCTGTTACAAACATTTGAAGCTATACTGTCCAGTCAAAAGTTCTGTAAACTGGACAAGAGCAAAAGGAATTTTGAGATAATAGGGATAATGTGGTGGTGAGATGTGTTGTTGATGGGAGAGTTCATCTGGGACTTTCAGTGGACTGGGGATGGGGCATCGCCTTGGCATCTACACTCCTCTGTACCCCCTTCCCATCCCCCGTCCTCCTTCACTCACTTCGATCTAGCCCTTTTCCTTTCCTTTAGTATTCGTCGTATCGGAGAGTCTTTTTTAAGGAAAGCGTCTAAAAGATAAAAGAAAGAAAAGGCCCTCAACCCCCGAATTCAACGACGATGCCGTGCTCTATTCGAAAAGAAAAAGGAAATTTGAAAAAAGACGAAGAAAAGAAAAAAAGAAAGGAAATCGAAGTAAAGAGAGTCTCTAGGGGGTATTCTTGAAGATGGGCAAAAGAGAAAAGGCATTAGAGCAAAACAACAACTACCAGATGGATTCTAGAGTTGGGATCTCTTTACTGATATCTCTTGAGTGTTTATTGTAAGTATATTCAAGGAATATTTATGTAAAAAGTCACGAATTCCATGCGTCATTAGACGGAATTGATTTGAAACTCGAGATTTAAAAGGTAACTTTTACTTTCAAGTATTCTAGTATTCGTTGTAGGCAAAATTAAAGGGCAACAAAAGTTTACGAAAGAAAATTTGAATTGAATTTTATCAAAATGCAGAAAATTTACAGTTAATTAATGAAAGTTTTAATCAATCTTTACTCATGAACAATTAATAAATCAATCAACAAAAGATCTACGAGAAAATTGATCGCTTTTTTGAAACTTGACAATGAAAACGACAACTTTCAGTCTGTTTTATCGTTTTTTAAAGTTTATAATTATATTATAATTATCAAAAACGTAATTATAAAATCTAGTTTATAACACGGTTGTATGAAAATTTTGAAAACATTTTTGCTAATAGCCAACTTGGTTTGTCAAATACTTTATTTCAGTTAACAAAAAAAGTAAATTTCAAAATAACACCTTCCTATCAGTTTTGCTTTTTTTCATTATAAACTGGAGGCTTTTAAGCTAAAAATTGTGAGCTTTAAAGTGGGGAAAATGATTTAAAATCAAAATTTCTACGATAAAACCAATGGTAAAGGTTTATTGTGGAAACTTTCTGACAAATAAAACCCTATGACATCGGTGAAACGGGGGAAAAAAGTAGGGAATCAAGCGAAAAGATCTCGTTTTTGTGCAGATGTTTATGTCGATCGAGATCAAACTGAACGAGAGTGATTCCATTCGATTACAACAGCTTTCAAATGAGAAAAGTGGTGGTGAAAAGGGGAGAAAAATTGGGGAAAATGAGGAGAAAGGAGATATGAAATTAATGACACTTGGATCGGGGAAAAGGGGGGAAAAAAGAGGGGAAAGGGCCCGTTGAGGGAATTAATTTATTTACGACAATTTTAGCTGCAAGGGTGGGATCTCATTGTTTGGGTTAGCTTTTTTTAGATAAGAGCTTGTTTTTGGATACATTACCTAATGCTATTGAAGTTGGTGGTGACGAATTTTGGTATATAAAACCCTCATTATGTTGTAAGTAAGCTGACAAACTCTGAAATGTGCAAACTTTATTGAATACCGTCTCCAGTTTTTATCGAAATCATTGAACCTAGTTTAGATAAAAAGTAGAGGCAAGTTTACGGTAGTTTTCAAAAGCAGACACATTTTAGAAGAGAGTAATTTGAACCGTTAGCAAAAACGGTTCAAATCAAAATTAAATGCAAATCTCGATGCTGATGCAATTTTTGTATTTTTGCGGGGGTGGCTACTTTGCGCCAAATTTTTTTTGCGCAATTGGGTCATTTGCGCATCTAGATCTTTTGCGCAACTAGGTCTTTTGGGCAACTCACCATAACTTTCTTCTAAGTCGACCAATCTTTCCAATCGCTCAATGATTTTGGTGTCATTTTGTTAAACTTGTTGAGATCTACAAAATGACACCAAACTCATAAAGATTGGCCCACTTAGAAGAACGTTATGGCGAGTTGTGCAAAAGATCCAGTTGCGCAAAAAATTTGTAGCCGCAAAGGAGCCACCCCCGTCATTGCTTTAAATGCTAATTTGTATCTTATGCATGACATCGTTATACGATAGTAAAATCACTACAGTTTCCCGAAGAAAATATTTCATTTATGATGTTTTTTTATCGAATCTATTGAAGTAGAAGAGGATTTTTTTTCAGTTTTCCCGGTGTACTCAAACCGAAGCTTTATGTAAGCTCCAATAAACGCAACTTTATTCAAAGATTCAACCCTCATCATCACTGGAAATTTCTTGGTTTCTTTCAATCGAGTTATCTGATATCAACATTGGATTGAGTGATGGTAAAGTTGAGGGGAAATTCGTCGAAAACAGGGTGAATTGACTGGATGAACCGGGGAATTGAGCACCGAATGGAGAAAGAAGATGGGAATGATCCATCACTTGTGGAAGACCTGAAATTAGTTGGTAAACTAGTTACCATAAATACTCTAATAGAACGGCCCCCTATAGGAGCGTCGCGTAGTCTAAGTTTACTCTCAAAAAAACGGTCATATCTTGGCATCAGTACGTTTATTTCTACGCGCTTGGGTATCAAATTCAAGCGGAAAGGGTTGGTGATTTTTTAAGATATAACACATATTTTTAGCATTAACCAGCTCTTAGAACAAAATGATTAAAAATCGGCTCTTCTTTGCCACTGCTCTTCAAGAGGAGGTTCGGAGCTATCAAATGATTCTAATAGTTTAGTTTATCTTTGAATTCTCACCAAATTATCAGTAAAACAGTTAACGACTACGTGACTGTACGCTCAAATTACCAAACTATTGTATAGGTATATCAAAATAGAAATAAAGCCAGCAACTTACTTTGTGATAGCCCGGGTAATCCGGTGATCACCGAAGCACAGGAGAGGCCTGAAACTCTTTCATTATCCGATTTTTACTACGCTTTTTGGCAAAGTTAATAAAGAAATTATGGTAGTTGCATATGTTACGTTATTTTTTTGTCTTTTTTTAGTCACCGGGCAACGGTCCACCAGGCAATGGCAACGGGGATGCTTGCTGAATTTGGCGTTTATGTTGAACATCTGAAACTTTGAGTTTCAAAAATGGGGCACCTTTTTGAAAAAACTAAAACATTAAAACGAAAAATTTATATGAGAACTCTATTTTCTCTTTATCACCAATTCTTGTCGCAATTTTCTCACTTTCCGGCATCATTCCAATCTCTAAACATCGCTTCATCCGGCAAGCTCGACAAATCTTGCGATAGCCTAAATGAGATTTTGTCGAAAAACAATCGTTCCTGAGCCTGAGCCTGTTAATTTTCTCTTTTTAGCTAACGCTAACTTTATTTTTTCAAATCCTAGTCTACTGTTCACAAGAAAAAGAGTCAGAACTTCTAAAAACCATTTTATTTTGTCGCATTGTTCAAATTTTACCATCTCGACTCGCACTCGTGCATCGCTGTGAGCGTTTACAGATATACTTTTTTCCATCGGAGATCGTTCGACGAAAGAAGGCTAAATGAAAAATTAGTAGTGCAGTCACAATTGTGACTAGATTTTTTGGCAACTGAAGAATTGAAACGATATTCAATCAGAATTAGTACTGTTCCTTTCTCTGCGACTAAAGCCTTTTCTAATTTTTTTTTTACTTTTGATTCTAGAATTCTATTCTTACTGTAAGCTGACCTGCACAAGCCGCACACGTTCGTGCGCCAAAATGGAGACCGTTCGCCAGAGTCGAGTGACAGACCTGATTTTTAAACTGAATATTTTTGTTTTCTTAGTGACAACGTGCATCAGAATTCTGGATATTCTTTTTATTAGCCAGATCTCTAACTGTATCGATCGTTTTATGCTTTACCTGACAATCGTGCGAGCTTCGAATCGACGAGATCCGATCGATCGGCCTTGTCGTGACCTCCATTTTTGGTGGTGGCTAGAAAAAAAGTAGGTAAAGGCGAAACAAAAATGTCCAAACGAACAATAATTAGCATATTTGACTTCTTAATTAACATAATGCCTGGTAAAATTTGCTTTTATGCTAAAGGTATTTCATTTACTTGTTTCTTAAAATTATCATTATTCATATCAATCCGCTATTCGTCTGGTCGTCCCTTCGTCGATCGGGAAACGTCTTTCTTCACTTGCAATTAACTTTATTTCTGCGCAAAGAGGTTTTTTTTCTTGAAATTAAGCAATCTTTGATGATAAATGATCAAAACCATGCTGTTATTACTGAGTTTTGTAGTTTTTATGTGTAAGAGTACAAATTGCACATTTTTGCAACCTAAATCTTGTCCATTTTAGGTGTGATCAAATGGGAGAACTCGCGGTGCTCGATCCGGGAAAAAAAGTGAGGGAAATTTTGTTGTTGATATGTTGTTAACTTTATTAGCTTTTGCATGGTTAACTTTAGTTTTAAAGCTTCAAACATTAGTTTAACGTGTTTCTTTTAGATCAATCAATTCAACGTGCTCGATTTTGGAATGTGTCGGAAATTCGTGCACGACGATGGACATGATGGATGTGACAAAGAACCGCGAACGGTGTCAGGATTCAGAAGTTGCTTTAAGGATATTGTGCTAAAGGAATGCATTATTTTGTTTAGGTACGGTTAAATATGTGCCAGTGGCTTGTCATCGGAGTCGTGAGCAGTGTCGTTTGGATGACTGCGAGGCGCGGTTATACTTGCTTGTCGAGCTGACGCGTGGAACGCTTCCCTGGAGGAAAATGAAGGTAAAAGTTATAGGTAAGTTGTGCGTGGAGCTTTTACTAATTCAATATATGGTTGGCCAGAAAGTCATTTCGCGTTTTTTCAGAATCTCTAAATGAACCACCAGATATCAAAACGCTCTTTTATGATTTTTTTTTAATAAAAAGTTGCGTAATAATCGGCTTTTGAATCAAGGTTATCTGGAGCAGAAGTAGAAAAATTTATTTCAAGGAAAGTCAATTTTTGGGAGTATTTTCAATCGAAAACTGATTCTAAAAGAAATAAAAGACCTTTAGACTTGAAATTGTTTGCATAGGCATAAACAAAATCAAAATACAGTAGACATAATCATAAAAATTCACTTGGAATTTTGAAGAAATACATGGTGTTTTGATAAATTCCGAATCAAAAGAACGTGAACTCGGAAAACATCAAATTTGACTCGGTACTGAAGCTCAATCATTTCTTCCATCAAAACTTGCCAAAATTAAAAGTTGTGCCACTTATTTTTAGTTTAAGATATTGTTCTTTAATTTTAACCATAAAAAAAGTCTGGTAGCTGCTTTGGTTGAAAAATTTGGGTGGAGCAAAATGACTTCCTGGGCAGTCTAATAATTCTTGCATATTTTATCTTGAAATCTAATTTTCAATTTTAGGACATCAAAGAGATTGGTGAAGAGAAGAGAAGCGTTTGGATGAGTGATCTGGGCATGAAACAACTCTTCGGTGGATATCCACGCGAGTATTCATTGACATTTTGAAGTGGGATTTATTTTGAGATTAGTATAAAAGTTTGATTTTACATGTCTTTTAGGACAATCGATGGCGGGTAGTTTTTTGACGAGCCGAACTACGGGAGAATGTACAACATCTTGCGACAGGGGATCCGCAGTTGCAATGCTAAGGTTTGAATTTTATATACTCGCAAACATTTGGGCTTAATCTCTTTCTTGTAATTAAAATACGACTTTAGGAGTATCCGTATGATTCGGAAGACTTTTTGAAAAATTAAAGACGATCAAAAGAAGAAAACGGTGACGATGAAGAGGCAAAGAAAAATGAAAAAGAAAAAGAGGATGAGGTGGGGAACTTTTTATAACACTTACTCTGAAATTTTTAGAAACAAGACTCGGAGGAGAAAGTGCGAAGAAAGCCGCTGTATTTCCCACTCAGGAATCCGGGAAGGTATGGTATCTTTTGTAAAGAGCGTATATTTGTTTGTCTTTTTAGGACCAATCAAAGAAACGCAAGAAGTGAATCGAGAAACAATCGATCAATTGATTTCTTTGTAAAGCGAACAAATGATTTCAATTATCTATTGTTTTTTCAAAGACTTAAATGACAGATCAGGTGGATTATTGGCCGATGGCTTTTATTAAAAAAGCGTACTCTGTCTCGGAGTATGGTACTTTTTTTCTAGTCGCTTATAACAAAGTGAATGACGATGGAGGTTTTTAGTTGAACAATTTGAAACTCGACTTTCCAAATGACTCACCGGAACCACCAAACTGCTCGATTTTTGCCGGCCTTTCGAAGCTTTTGACGCATTTTGATGAAGCTGATCCTCGGATTGTTCTTTCTGAATCGATCCTTTGAAACAAGAATTCCAAATTTCGTTTACTTTTTTCACTCCCAAGTACATTCCACCGTCGAAACAACCCAACATTGGTTGTGGGAAAAGGAGCTCATCTCTGAAATTTTGCATTGCCAATTTTTGATTGCTAAAACTTACACTCTACTCGCGTAGTAGGGAATTGTGTAGGCAGGATCAAACTGAATTTTTTTTATTATCAGACAAAGCAATGAGTATTTTGGATTAGGACCAGGCTTAACGGCCTAACCAGATCATCAAGTCATTATTCTGCTCCAAAAACTCTCACAGGCATCTCATTTAAAACGATCGTTTCAACTTCGATAACTTATCGAACCTAAGAAAAAGCTCTTTGGAAAACAATGTTCAGAAATTATTTTTACTTTCTTGACCTAATTGGCCCTGGCTTTGACCTAATTGACCATGTCTTTTGACCTTTTGGATTAACCGTGACTTCAAAAATGTTTTAACAAACTCTTTCTACAATGATTAAACCTTTTAGTAAAAGTTTAAATGAAACTTTTTAAAGACACTTTTTTGGTAACCTTTGCTGCATCGGATCCATGAGTGAGAACGGACGGCCGAGAGAGTTGCGGGGAATCAATGGGAATATCGAAATGTGCGGGAATCGAATGATGCGCTTGATGGGGATGGGGATGATGAAAATCACCATCGGATGTGGGAAACTGAATAAAACAGAGGGATTTTTGAAATTGGCGACATTGATTCTAAAACAATGACCTCCTTCAAAATCCTTGAGAGAATATAAATCAAATCAACGCCTTGCATTTTTGACTGATTGCTTTTCAATTTTCTAGTTTCATTTAAAGGAGCTGTCCCACATAGAAAAAATGCAGAAGTTTTAGATACTCCTGGGGATCTCACAAAGCTTAAAGTATTTAGTTATTAAATTTTCAGTTGATTAACTGAATATCTTTAAGAGAATAGAGATAGAGTAGAATTTCTATAAACGGCCTTGATAGAAATTTTGCTCTATCGCTATCCTTTTAAAGATGTTCAGTTAATCAACTGAGTAGCTGACTCAAATGTTTCAATTCCTTAGCTGAATATCCTCGAAAACGGGGTATTTAACTGATCCGCGGCTCACGCTTTTGCTCATAAATCCGTATTTTTCTCAAAATTGCAAGAATAACGTTATTTTTTTATGTCATATTCGTGATTAGGGGATCGAAATACGTAGATTGCCTACAATAGAAAGCTGTTTTAAGAAAGTCGACTTCTATGTGGGAAAGCCTTTTTAAATTTAACAAACCGGTGAGAACATTGGAAAAATTGGTGGTGCAAGGGTCGAGAAATCATTTGTTGTGGACAAGTTGTGTGAATGATTTTCTTCATGATGATATCCGAGTGATGGAAGAGCGAAAGTCGGTTGGACAACGGAGGGACGAGAGGGGAGATCCAACTGGAGAAAGGTTTCACTTTGTTGTAGGTGATAAACATGCGATCCGATCGGATTGACCCCGTCTACTTTCGCTTTTTTTGCCGTTGGCAAAATGCGTTTTTCTCAGCTTTCCCCTCAACTAATTTTAAAACTTTTAGTATCATTCGATAGCTCATTTCTTTCTTATCGAATGATACTAAAAGTTTTAGAATTAGTTTAGGGAAAGCGGAGCAAAACGCATTTTACCAACGGCAAACAGGCAAAAGTGGGCGGGGCCAATCCGATCGGATCGATCGGATCGCATGTCTAGTAGATGAGGACAAATTAATGTTTGGATTCTTATTCTAAACTTTATTTAACTCCGTAGTTTTCAAAGTTTCAATTAAATTTCAAAAATTAGCTAAATTATTCGGTTGGAACGAAAGTTTTCGGAAAAGTTTGAATGGAATTTCTTAAAAAACGAATTCACCAATTCAAAAACATTTGGTTTTATTATTTACAAGTGGACTCCAAGAAATTACTCGTAAAAAAAATGAGTGCAGCTTTCCCTTTAGAGATTTTTGAAAATTATTATTTTCCAGGTTAAATTCAGCTCACTTTTTGCATGAGAAAAACGATTCCTTATGAGGTAAAGCTAGCATAAATGAGCAATAATAATAATAATAATACTTTATTCAAACGATAAAGTGAAAGAAATCATAGAGAAATGCACAGTGATACTTAATCATACAATACATACTGAAATCAATAAGCCAATTACTTACGGCAAAGAGCCACTAGATCGATACGTTTCTTGAATATGAAAAGCGACTGAATTTCTCGTATGTCGTTTGGGAGCAAGTTCCATAATCTAGCGGCTCTAACGGGAAATGAATTTGATAAAGAGGCATTGGAAGCAAAGGGAATTTGCAAAAGGAATGAGCCACTTCTGGGCCCTGACCGCGGTTTAAATTTGAAAAAGTCTATAAACAAAGGGCTAATCTGTTTACAGGAGGAGGATTTTGAAAGTTTCGACTAAATCAATGACAAAGCGACGATGCTGTAAAGTTTTTAGTTCAAAAAAGCAAGTCTCTCCTCATAAGTAAAGCTAGAATATTTAGAATAGTCAATTTTCCATAAAGCGACTTTTGTGAACCTCCTCTGAATTTTCTCCAAGCGTTCAATAAAGACTTGTGCGCGGGGAGACCAAACAATAGAAGCATATTCTAAGATGGGCCGGATATAAGTCGTCAAGCATTTGCGGTAAGAGTTTAGGTTAGGATGAACAATTGATTTGAGAATACGGCTAGAAACAAAAGAAGCTTTTCGACAAATGATTTCAATATGTTTAGTGAAATTAAAAGGGGGATAGATGTGGACACCTAAATCTCTAACAAAATCTAATTTACTAATGTAATTGATAGGAATATTGTTAATTACCAAAGAGAAACTAAATTTACCGGTGGAAAAATGTTGAGATTTTGAAGGGGATAGGGAAAGCTTCCACGTTTTGGCCCACAAATTAATAAGTTCTAAGTCATGGTTTGCATCTTTTACAGCCGCAAGCGAAGCTACTTGAGTTCCGATGGGAATTTTGAACGTAAGCTTAACATCATCGGCATAGAGCCAGATGGAGGAATTTTTTGATTTGAAAGGACAGTTAGGCAGGTCATTAATATAGATAGTAAACAAAAGAGGACCAAGAATACTACCCTGAGGAACCCCGCTAGGACAATCAAAAGAGGGAGAAAGAACATTATTTAGAATTACTTTGAAAGTCCGCTGAGAAAGAAAATTTTTGACGACCGAAATTACAAGTGGGCTGAGCCGGTAAGCATGCAGTTTGTGAATTAGAAGATCAATGGGAACAGAATCAAAAGCTTTTGCAAAATCTAAGAAGACGGCTTCTAGTTGGGAAATAGATTTTTCTTTTTGATCTAAAGCTTTGAAAAAGGACTTATAGGCTAAAATAAGTTGAGAAGTTGTGGATTTATTTTTAAGGAAGCCAAACTGCTGGTCAGAAAAAAGATTGTACTTATCAAAATGTTGAAAAATTTTATCTTTTATGATAATTTCAAAAAGTTTTGACACAGGAGAAGTTAAAGAAATGGGACGATAATTAGCGAATATATTTTTGGGCGATTTTTTGAGAAGAGGCGACACAAGAGATTGTTTCCAGTAAGTTGGGACCGCAGAGACAAGCAAAATTTTATTGAAGAATTTGGCAAGAGGAATGACTAGCACTTTATGTAGTTTCTTTAGAACAAAAGCAGTAATTTTGTCTGGACTAGGCGATTTTTTGGGTCTCAACTTTTTGAAAGCAGCTTCGATGTCACTAGCTGTAAGGAGGAAATCGGCTTGTGGTGGAATGGCTTTAGGTGGAAAAGCCGGGAATGGTTCATCAGGTATCTGGTTATTGTAAACACTGTGAAAGAAATTACCAAACTCAAGCACAATTTTTCCGGGATCTAAAAGTGTTTCACTAGGATTGGATGGATCAAGAAAGGAATTTGGAATTTGGTTAGGGTCCTTAGATTTAGAGTTTATATACGTGTAAAAAGAATTCCCTTTTTTGGATTTAATGGCGTTTCTTTCTATATTTTCCTCAAATTTCCGACAATATTTGGAAAGCTTATTTAGTTCCTTATTAACTAAAGGATCATCTGAGGGTTGAGAAAAGTAGGAGCGACGGTAAAAACAGGCTAAACGACTTTTAGCTCTTAAAATGTGCGGCGGGGTCTTTAAAGAAGAATGAGCACATGCCAATTCCACCGAGTTTAGGAGACTAGCGCAAAAAGTGTCATAATCTTGGTCAATAGAATTTGAGGAGGCACAAAAATCTGATTGATTTAGAGAATTTAGTAAACACACCGCCGCTTTGACATGATCAAAATCAAAATGCAAACAGACTTGATCCCTTTTCTTTGGAGTAGAGCAGTTAGAATTGATTTTGAAGCTGATTGAGATGTGGTCAGAACCCGGAAGAGGAGGCAAACTTTGCAGGTCGATTACGTCATCCGGAAAGTCAGAAATCACCATATCTAAAATAGAAGAAGAGCGACAGAAAGTAGGAAATGCATTTAAAATAAAAAGAGAGCTCGTAATGAGGAAACTTTCAAGTGAAATAGTGGGGTGATGGTATTTGTCAAATGCAAAAGAACCGCTGGAAAAATTTACACGAAAATTAAAATCACCAAGTAGAATGTTTAGCTCAGCAGAAACTAAGAATGTCGATAGGTGGTCGAAAAGAGAAGATGTGTCAGCTAAGTTAACATCAGGGGGACGATAAATAACGAAAAAACGGGTCTTTTTGGCAAGGAAAACATCGACTATAAGAATTTCGCAATTAAACTTAGATGCAGAGTAAATTAGCGCATGTTGGAAGGACTTTAGGAGCAAGAAAATGGTACCACCACCATGAGATTTGCTAGAGTCAGATCTGTCACAACGTAAAATAGCATAATTATTTCCGGGATCAAGAATAGAGGAAACAAAAGACTCATTTAGCCACGTCTCTGTAATAGCAATAAAAGAGAAAGTCTTTGATCGAGTCATAGTTTGAAAGAAATTAAGTCGATTATTGCTATTGGAGGCTAGACTGTGGGCATTTGTAAGATAAACACTAGGTAGGATTGAGGAACAACTAAAATCAGACTTCTTCGGGGAAAATGAGATCATTTGGCGTCGGTTGGGAGCTTGAAACCTTTTTATGCAACTTCTTACGAGTTTTTTCGTTTCTTCGTTGAGAAGGATGGGCAAATACATCCTTTGAGTTGCGAAAACTCTTGGCAACTGGTCCGTTCAGGTCTGACATCGAGTGGGCTTTCTTCAGGTGTGTTCCATTAGGGGAGATGATGACGGCATTTGCCCGTTTTGGTGGTCGACCTCTTGGTTTAGGCAAAGTAACAGGCGGTGGCTTCGCAATTATATTTAATGGTCTTGTATCCTCTACAACTCCTATAACGGCCATCTCGACGTCCTTTGAGTTCCGAGTTGGAGCAATTTTGAGTTGCTTAGCTTCTTTAACGGAGTCATCAATAATGTCGATTCCTTTTGGACGAAAAGGATCAGAACGACGAACATTGATTAGACGAGCGTACCAAGGTAAAAGATCTTTGCGTTGAAGGCGAAAAGAAGACAATAAGTTGGAGGCACCGTGAGAAGAAGCAAAAATCACTTTTATTGGACGAGGATGTTGCAGAGAAAAGATGCCCATTCGATAAGATTGAAGAATCGTAGCATCCATTCCATAGCCGGCCAATATTGAGTCCAGAAGGAAGCGATCGGCTGCCCTTCTTAAGCATGGTGACAGAGAGGAGTGTATATTGGGTTCTGGGAGCCCCTCGACAACTAGATGATAGTCGGAAGAGAGTGTTTTCGCGAAGGCAACGTCCTCCTGGAGAAGTGGCAGCTTGGTGGGTTCGAGTGGCGGCGACAACGGATGAAACGGATGGCGTACATTCATCAACTTTTTCACCGTCATGTTGGGCATTTTTAACGGCATTTGCATATCTCAAACTTGGGTACTCAAACAATGAGCAATACGCTCTTTAATCTCTATTTTTAGCCAATAATTTTTTACAGAGAAGCTGTATTTTAAAAAATAATTTTTTACTGTCATCTTCTCGACACGGAGTGTTTGCTAAAATAGGTGATTCTGAAAAGTTAAAAGCATTAGATAAAATTTACCTTAATCACAAATTTTCCCTGTTTTAAGTACTTGATTTTAGGTTTTGAATGGGACCCATTGCCTATTCATTAACCCAATAAAAACTTGTTTAAAGGCTAGTCACTCAAAAAGTGGCCAAGTCACTTCAGTTGAAGAAATCTCTTATTTTTTTACCTCAAGCCCACTCTGATTTTTTTTGTTAAAAACTTTTTGAAATATAGTCAAGTTTATGAAAAAATCTAGGAAGAATTCTTGGCTTGGTTTTTGAGCAATCACCGTGCAAACTTTTTCCGTGAACTTTCTTTCCAACCTAATCGTAAAGCTGAGAATTGTGCGATTAAGCCTCTTCTTTCCACGTTCATTAAAACGCTCAGGAAAGCCGTCAAACTTGAAACTGTAAAAGAAGTGTGCAACCGTTTCGGGGGAAAATGCTTGCGTTCACAAAATGCAATTAGGCCTGGCAAATTTGAGTTTACAAACCATTTGTGGTGTTTGTTCACTGGGAATCTCCGGATCTTGCGGGTTCTCCGCATACGATCTCGCATTTGTGAACCACCATTCCGGTTGCAGCATTTTCGTGTCCATTCTCTGAAAATTAACAAATTGCACGGAATTTTCGGTTCATTGAAACATCAAAAATTTTCGTATTCTTTGTGCAGCACTCATTGTGCTACCATTTAACTTGTTATTTTAAAAAAATACATTTATCCACAAGAATAATGTGATACAAACAATACACAAGCACAAGCTCTAAGCGCTAAATTGTAGGGAAGAAAAAAAAGCCCATTTGCAGGGTCTCCCAAAAGTTCTTATATTTTTAATGTAATTTTTTGACTTGAAAAACACGTGAATTTCGGAAAACTAACGCCGGATTCTAAAAATTCAGATATTTTTACCCCCAATATCCCGATTTTCATAAGAATATTTCAACTCTCAACAACTTTTTGACTAGGATTTTTTACATCCGTGTCTGGTCGCTGAAGATTTTTACGAAAGTTGAATTAAACTTTACTGAGTGAAATTTTTTTCCAAAAACTTTTATTACCATTTTTTCACGAAAACAAGCCACAAACGAACTTTAAATCTCAAAAACGAAAGATTTTCAAGTGATTCTACGGAGCGCAGTCAATTCTCAAAAGCAAAAAAAGTGCTGTGGTGGCCTTTAAACATTCTCATCAAAAAGTTGTTTAGAGTTGAAACTTTTGTGCAAACAAAAGTAAAATAGGGGTAAAAATACTTGAATTTCCATAACCCGGCGTTACTTTTTCAAAAGATAAACTGTCTGTTTACAAAAAGTATAAGGACTTTTGGGACACCATGTATATGGAAAAAAACAGCAAGTAATCTAGCCGGTGGGATCAAACCCTTGACCTCACGACTAAGAGACAAGGCTCTTAGCCAGTCGGCCATGGCGCCATTTTGTAAGAATAAAGTTTTTAACCGGTTAATCTATTATGCAGGGTCCCTCACAATTACCGCCTCACTTCTCTTACAATAGAATTTAGCTGTTTTCTTCTAGTTTTTTGTTTTTTTTGTTCTAACATTTGCTGTTTTCATGGAAAAAACTTTTAATTTAGTGATGGTAAAGCGTAATCTTCACAGAGCTTCGACCATCGACTTGCATGCCAAAGACTATGGGACATGTGAGATTGTTCGATGTCTAGGAGTTGACAGAAGTGTTGTGGTTCGCGCAGTTAAACGATAAAAGGAGCTTAGAACTTCAAACCATCGCCCTAAAAGAAGAGAATCATTACCATTAAAGCCAATATCAAGTGGGTCCGCCAAAAGATCAGGCGCAACCCCGCGCGTTTCGTTCGTCAAATGGCTCGTGAAATAAGAATCAGTAAATCGAATGCGTCGAATTGTTCGAAAACATCTTAAACTTAAAGTCTACAAGAAAGATAGATGTCAAGGATTATCGGCAGCGCAAAAAAATCCGTCGTAAAGACCGAAGCCAAGACCTTCTGAATCGGACAAGCTCATCGCAGCATTCTCTTTACTGATGAGAAGATATTCACAGTTCAACAAGTTCTCAATAAGCAAAAGGGTCGAGTATATGCGGCTTCCAATCCATACGTTTCTGTCTCCACACCCTGACTAAGAAATGGTTTTCGCAGGGGTAACAATGGATGGAAAAACAACTCTTTGGTTTGTTCCACAAGGCGTGAAAGTCAATAGCCAAAATCATCTCGACCTACTTCTCTGGGTACTTAGGAAGACGTACTTGGACTTATCAGCAGGACGGAGCTCACAAAGCGAGGATTGAACAATTTTCTCGATTTCATTCAACGAGTGTGGCCAGGCAACCCCGCAGACCTCAATCCAATCGACTATTCGGTATGAAGCGTTCTTGAGGCCCGTCCTTGTTCAAAACTTCATAGAAACGTCAACTCATTGAAGAAAACACCTGAGAAAGCCTGCCTTTACTTGCGTGCCACCAAGGACAACTTCCCGAAACGTCTACAAGCTTGCATTGACGCAGATGGTGATTTCAAAATTTAATTATCAATTCTAATTTTTACACGTTGATAAACATTTTCATTTTTAAAATTTGTATTCTTGCGATTTATAAGTTCAGAAATCTTGATTTACTTTGAGCCAGTAATTGTGACGCACTCTGTATTACCTGTTCATCAATTTCTTTTTGCTCATCACTTTTTGTAAACTTCTTGCTTTTTAAAAGTCTGTCGGAGTACGCTAGTTTTATGTATATTCAAGGTTTATGAAGATCGAACTTGAACCCTTCATTGTCATCTGTTAGCTTTTGTGTTCTTTCAGAAACACCAAAATTCGCTCTAGTGCTACGTTTCGTAAGCTCAAATTTTTCAAAGCGCCTCCAAATCGCCGCGTCTTCTTAAATGCAAATTGTATCAGCGCGGGAGGGTACCGCGATTCTCATTCTTCTCCAGATTTCAGATGAGCTACAAATGTGGGATGAATTCAAATTCTCGAATCAATGCGAAGAAGAAAAAATTTGAATCCCAGGGACTCCAAAATTCAAGCAGAAAGAAATCAATACAAAAACGAGGGTTTTCTACTAAAATTTAAAAATTGTGATGTGAAGAAAAATTTCGTGGTTGGATGGGAAATTTTTGTAGGCATTGGAGGGTTTATAAGTGGAAAAAGGGAGAGCCGTTGTCAAGGGGAATTTTCGAAGAAAAATGCGAAAATGGCATCCGCCTTTTTCAGCCGGATTACTGTAGGGGTTTCTTTTTTTCAGCCAATTATAGCGAAGCTTTGACTATTGTTATGTTGAATAGGAAATGATACTAACAAGGATTTTTTTGTTTCAGAGGAAATGATACTATTCAAATTTTTCTTACTTTGTAATACCAGCTTTATAAAGCGAAAGGCTTTATAAAAGGCATTCGGTTTCTGAATATTTCATATTGATTTAATATTATCCATTTAAAATTGCGCAAATCAAAAAGCGATGACTTCTCTATCAGAAAGTCTTGAAATTGAAACTCTTCTTCACACATTCACGACGATACAACTCACCAGCCATACTAATGACGATTTTGGTCTCAATTCTGATGTTATTTTTGGTGTCAACTCAAGCTTTTAAGGACTTTTCTTATTTATTTAGAAAATTCTCAGTAATTTCGTACTAGTTTTCAAGAGGAGATTCAGGGCTATCGAATGACTATAATATTGGGTTGGTGAATTGAAAACTGCCGGCTATTGTCATATGTGACAGTTTGAGCACTTTCTTCAAAAGAAACCCATTTTGGTGTCAATGGAAAATTTGTAGAGAATCAAAAATGAAGCTTATATCCAAATTTTCAGAACGATTCAAAAACTGGTTTTCAAGAAATGCCAAATTTACGAATTTTCACAAAACTTGCATTTTAAGCGAAACTGCTAAGTGTATCTTTTTGGAAATTTGGCTATAAGCCTAATTTTTGATTCTCTACAACTTTTCTATTGACACCAAAATGGGCTTCTTTTGAAGAAATTGCTCAAACTGGGACATCTCCGGTCCTCCATTTTTGAGTCTCACACTTGTCTCACACACAAACCAAAATCCAACTACGAAAGAGGAATCCGTAATGCCTGTAAAATGGGCAGAAGTCGTCAATAATAATGGAGATTATTTGGAATGAATTTATGGTTTTATGTTGAATAAATTTTAGTTCAAAGTCCCGCAGTTTTCAATTAACCAACCCAATAGTATAGTTTATCTATGAATTTACACCAAATTATCAATAAAACGGTTAACGACTACGCGACTGTACGCCCAAAAGACCATCGTTGCGAATGTATTAAGAATGTTTGTGTTTCAAAAAAGTCTGGATTCTGGATTGTTCCTGCACTTGTTTTCTCTGAGCCTGTAAGAATCGACACTCCGTAGGACAAGATGAGCATCAACTTTGCATTTAACAACAAAAAACGCTTGACCATAACAATATTACCATCGTCAAAAACGCTACACCGAGGCAAGTGTGCTACTTGCCTTCTCTTACCATTCGAAGCCTTTAACTCAAGTGTTAGTCGTTATAAACAAAAAAACATCTTCATTTTTCTTCCAGAAAAAGTTTTTCTGATTATAGGCGACAAATAATTTGCGGCTTATCTTTTCCCAACTTTGGCATGGAAAAGGGAAATTCTTGAGGATTCGTGGAAGGGAAATACCCACGCAATTAGAGGCACCGTTTCAATTATTCCCTTTTGATCTCTGTTGGGGGTGACACGCGATTTTTACAGTTTCTAGAGATTTCCATGGGAGGATAAAACGAAAAATGTAATATGATGTGTCTACAAAACGTCGTAAAATCATGCAAAAAAACAAGCGAAGAAAACGATATAATATCATCACACAAAAAAAGAGACAAAGAGGTATTTCGATCCAAGGTTGAGAGGAAAAGAGAGGGAAAAGCGTTGCCAAAAGACAAAATTTGTGTGCCGATCTATCGATTCGGTTTCACTCAAATTTTAAAACTCTAAAAATTAGCTGATGATTTTCTGTAAACTTTCCCAAATTCCATTTCTTCTAATAATCTTGGCACTTTTTGAAACGATTAAATGCGGATTGGATTTGCAATATTTTGGAAGTTTTTCCGGTGATGCCGAGATTTTCTATGTGAAGAGGAGGTTTATTTCGAGAATTTTAAGAATAAATGATATGTGATAAAGTTCAAAACTTCTTTGAAAAATTCTCCCTCAAAAATGTCACTACAGACGAATTTGTAGCCAGGACTTTTTGCCAAAAAAACTGCGAATAGTGAGGCCGAGAAGCGGGAGATAGTCGCTGAGCACTGCTTCCCTTCACCTTATACCAAAGACGTGTGCAGTTGGAGAGCGATTACGCGCGCGCACAAAGAACGCTTTGCCAGTTATTTACAGGGATTTCACTTTTGCTTTGTAGATGGTATGAAAAGAAGATGTTGAGCTGTAAATTTGGACCCCGGGGGTTTTCTGGGACGGCAAATCGATTAGAGCTATTCATTTTATCGGGTCTGCCAACTGGAGCTCGGGATTTACTTACAAATGTGGTCGATCCCACTCGACTGACATGTCGTTTGTTTTCAAGAGAATTTGATAAATCAATCAACCTCTATTTGGTATCATTTTAAATCATGAAGTTGGCAAAGATAAAATCGTACCAATTTGATATAAAAAGTTCTATACAAAGTTGATAAATATGAAATCGACATTTTAGAAGCTGATTGCCCACTCGACGATCCTCAATTTGTGTTTTTACGTTTATTTGTCAGATGTCACAATCGAGTAATAAATTTTTCACAGATTTTATGTATGCTTTTAAAGAATATTCCAATAAAATCCATCCAAGAAAAGATGGAACATGGAATTTAGGGGGAAAAATGAGAAAATCAGCTCTTTTTTCTCATAGTTTTGTCATTTCGACAGAGCACTTTTTTTACTCGTCTCCGAAACGAGATTTTCGACTTGGCAAGGAGAAGTTTTTGTGGGGAATTTTAGGCAAAAAGTGTGGGCTGGATCCGACGATTTTCTGGATCAAATATCTGGATTTCTTTGCTCATTTCTGACTTTGTCTTTGAAAAATCTTTTCCACAATTTGATTCACAATGCATTTTTATTCATTTTTACGAGGTTTTTTTTTGAATCAAACCTTCTGAACAACATTATTTCGCCATCAGCTTCTCAAAAAACTACTAGAGAAATTCCCCGGACAAACACGAAAATTTCAAACAAAGCCCTTCACCTTTTTTTTATTTTTATGTACCCCATTCGAAAGTGAAATATCGGGTGTTCATTCTTTGCATATTTTGAGGAAAAGGGACTTGTATCGGAATATCGGAACGCTCGATCTGCAAGTGAAATTTGCAACAATGAGACAAGGAAGATGCACATCTGACTGGATTTTTGTTCTCTCGGGACGATCGCCGAATAACTTGCGTGTTTCAATTTTGAGCATATTGGCTTGTTTAGCTTTTATCTACCAACTGTTTCGTCATTTTAAAATTCATTTTCACGATTGCCAAGAAATCAGCTTCGCAAAAAACATAGCGTATTTCAACTTTCTTTGTTAATGATTAGCGCATTAAAAACTCTCAAAACGCATTCAATCATCCACATCCGCATTTGGTGCGTTTATTGTCAAACGTAAAAGATTTAACGTCACTTTAGCATCTTCTGCTCTTCACTTTGCCCCACCAATAAATTGTTCTTTGACATCTTACTTTATCATTGAATTTTAACATGTTTTATCCTAGTTTTGAGATGGTTTTGAATTGATTTAAGTTAGAATTAATGAATAAATTCATTTATACCATTTCCCCCTTATTTTTTACCAAACTAGAGAATGTCGGGGAAATTGACATTTATTCTATTTTATTTCGCGGGGACAAACATGCGGAATTACCGATTTAACTTTAAAAAGGTTTGTTTTTAGAAATGAATGTTTCAGAATCAAACGACAATTCGGAATCTCATTGACGGCAGTTTGTTCAAAAATTATTTCAATCCTGACTCTTCTTGTCTAGAAAAGTCAGTAGTTAATTACAAACACCCGTTTTTTAAAAAAACCAACTTTATTTGGGAAGGTTATATCTTTTTCTGATATCAGTTGTTGACAAATTGTTAGTGAAAATTTCTAAAGCTCAGGAAATAGCATTCAAATTGTTATGACCTTTTTGAATATACCCTAATATTTTTTCGAGACATTTTTTTTTCATCAAAACCTTTTCTTACTTCAAACCCTCAGATTCCCCCTCCCCACTCAACCTTTCCCCTTTTCCCACTTCTAACGAAAAAAATACTGGTTTTCTTCGCCAGAAGCGCTAAAGTGAAAGTGGGGGTGGAACTGCAAAAAAGAATTGGCTGAATATTTTTTTTCTTTTAAAACAAATTCTGTTTCCACTTGTATTTATGCATACATTTTAAAGTGTTGATCCCAGCCTAGCTAATCTCAAAGCTGATCGGTTTTCAAAAGTTTCAAATGCTTAAGCCCGTTAAATTACAATTTTGCATCAATTTTTCTAATTTATAAACTATCTCATGAGCTTTTTATCCTAGCATTACCCACCACAAATGAATTTTCGCCTTGATTAGCTTGAAACCATCAAAATTCAGTGACTTCGATTTATTTCTTTGCTATTTCTTATATTTTTAAAAACCATTTAGATTCATGTTTTCATTTATGCTTTTCTAAAAAGTTGATTTTTTCAATTTCAGAAGGAGATGTACAATCCAATTTTATTGCTTGTGCCTATTTTTATCGGATCGATGGCCCAAATCGATGACATTGAGCCGGCCGTGCGGGTTGTGAGATTTCAGGTAAAGAAGTGAAAAATTTGGCAAAGCTTCTTTTTAAGGTCACATACCCGAATGCAAAAGTGAGTGAACTGGACAACATTCGAAAATTCAACTCGTTGCTGCGAAACTCGGTGTTGGCCTCGTTGCGCTTTATCAATAAGCACTGGCTGATTTGTGGGGGATCCGAGTTGGATAAGTGAGAATTTTCAGCATTCTTATCAATCATTCTTATCATTAAAGTGTTGTTTTTTTCAGAAAATCCAATGATTGCGGGAAAGCTCAAGTGACGGGCGAGATTGTCGACGCATCAACATACCGCATCAACGCGACTTTCATCGCCGAGAGGTTTGTCGGAGTCAAGTTTCAATGTTTTCAAGACTCGGGAATGCGACAAAACATTGAAATTAATTTTTGACCAAACATTGAAAATAAAAAGTTATACTGATAGATTAAAAACAAAAGTTCCAGAGACCCGATCAAGAACGCCAAAGTCGAGGCCACTTCCACCGTTTTGGCGGTCGTACAGATCGGGTTGAAAGGGGGCATTTTCCAGTACACGAATGCATTGAAGGTAATTATTATCAAGAATTATTTCTTACAAAAGTAGAAAATGTGGTTATTTCTCTTGAATTGATAAACTAACTTTCAAAAAATTGATAAAGGTTCCAAATGGTTATTATCAGGCTGGTCAGAAAGTCTATTCCGCTTTTAAAGCGGAAGGTTTAAAGGTTACTTTCGAAGCCGTTTTCATTCTGTGTCCATTGAAAGGATTTTAGGAAAAACAAGAATTCCCGTTCGAATTTGCTTCGAAGTGGACTTAAATTTGTCTAAAAATGGGCTAAATGAAATAGTTAATCCTTTTTATTTAAAGCAAACAAAGTTGATCGGCTAATACACGAAAAGATTTCCTGGTCAATCCAATATCAAATTTCTATTCAACGAGTCACGAAAAACTTGAAACTCTGTTTTTTATGGTAGTGTGGTTTGACGTTTTTTTAAAGATTTTATGAACATTTAGAGATTTCTAATTTTTGCAGATTTTAGCGCTTGAATCGTTTGTGGTATTATAGGGATATTGAGACACTACAATATTTTTCATAACATGCAATTTAAACGATGCTTTGAGAAACAAACAATTCCTCAAATATTACAAAGCATTCAATATTAGCGTTCAGTAGAGCTGTTCATTTCTCGGTCTGATTGTCAATAGGTGTACAACGGAAAAACGAGATTTAACCACTTCAACAGCTACTTTTCCGAGATTTCTTCCTACACAAAGCTAGGATTTTCCAAGTTCTATCTTTTGGTCTCAAAACCCCGTAGCTGTTGAAGTGATCAAATCTTATTTTTTTCCGTTGTACACCTACTGACAATCAAACCCGAAATGAATAAATATATTTTCCTTCAGATTCTCGGGAAACCATCTCAACAGCTTCCATTCGAGGAAGCTTTTTTCTGCAATCGTGGCGCGATTCTTTTCGGAGGCGATCGCTGTCGTAAGCAATTATCGGTGGTGGCACGAACACGACGACTCAGGTCGAAAAGAATGAACACAGGGGAATGGGGAATTGGATAACAAATCGGTGAAAGAATGATGGCACTGATGTATTATAATAGAATCAAAATGCACACTTTCAAAATTCGAACCTCAAAAACCTAGACAAAAAAAACTTTTGATATACCCAAGTGTACTGATGAGCTCTTGAAAACTTTAGCTTACTAGCAGTGAGTTCACTAGACAGAATTACAGGTCAAGGTAAGCCTTGGCATAGTCATTTTTGTGAGCTTAACAAACCATTTAAAACCGAGGTCCATTTAAGGTTGTGTTTCAAATTTGGTCGAAATTCTGAGACTAATGGCTTGTATTTTGGTCGTTCTATTCTAGACATGAGCACTATAAACTACAAAAATGACGAACTGTCACACTACAAAGGCTTCTAACTTGCTTCGAATCTGCGGATTAAAATGATATATAGCTCAAAAAAATAGAGGATCTCAAAAGCTTTGGAATGGACTAAAGCACATCCAAAAATATCAACGCTAAAGAAAGTTAGAGTGGTTTGTAGTCTTGATTTGGTCGCTTCGACTACGCGAGAGTACGGTCTCTTTCGAATCAAGACTACAAACCACTATAACTTTCTTTATCGTTGATATTTTTGGATGTGCTTTAGTCCATTCGAAAGCTTTTGAGTTCCTCTATTTTTTGAGCTATAGATCATGTCAATCCAGCAGATTTGAAGCAAGTTAGAAGCGTTTATAGTTTACGTTTGTAGCTTTTTCGATTCCTAATTGTAAAACATTATCGCAAAGATCAATTTAAAAAAAACTCCTTCGTTTTTAGTCTAGCCCGAATTTGTCTACAAAATGGACAAATGATCTAAAGAAAATCAAGTTTTCGTGCAAATTTGCGACCTTTTACAGAGATTCGGTGATCGGTGAATCGGAAACGATCGGGGCACACCACAAAATGCACCATCGAGCACTCCTCACCGAGGGGAAAACCGCCCAAGAGCCAGCCATCGATTTGAGGGGATTGGCGAAACTTTGAACACCCACTCACTCTGAAGCACTTTGAAATTGAATATTTGTATCCATTGTTGTGACTACTCGAAAAAAAAGAAGAATAAAGAGATTTCTTTTTTTCACAAAATACTACAAAATCTTCGTGTAAAACTGTTTGACCTTTGAACCACACCCGTACAATTAACCGCATGGCATTGTTATAGAAATCACTGCCTGAAAGTGGATGAAAAAGTTTTCCAAATTTTCGGCATTGCATAAAAAGCGTAGTTTTTGGGTCAAACTGTTCTCTCAGTTTAATTGCCTATTTTAACTAAAGTTATTTTAATTATGTTAACAGAATTTCTATTAAAAATACAGCCAAATTTAAAGCAAAAATTGATCCCAAAAACTTGGGCATAGTGATTTGGGCATAGCATTAAAGTCTCTCTAAAGGATCTAAAGCTTTCACAAGTGTGCACAAGTTCTAAGACTGAAAAGACTCAAAAGAACCAATCTATGTGCCTGTTTTTTTATGTGCTTGTGGAGCGGGCTCGTTTCTGATCGAGGGATCCGATGGATGCACGCCGTGCGCAAGAGGAGAATTTCAAGAGAAATCCGGACAGGAAGCGTGCAAGAAGTTTGTTTTTAGATGAGGTTTTGATGTCTCAGATTGTGATGCTGTATTTGAGTTTAGTTTAGGGCTAAACTTGAGTTGGTCCAGAGCCATTTTACGGGGCTAGGGCCAGGTTCGGGCCTGGCTCTTGGATTTTGGACCAAAAAAAGTATCAGGGTCAACGAGGAGCCAAAACTGGACCCTATACTTCTGACCTGGTGTTGCCTGGCCTGGTGTTGCCTGGCCTGGCGTTGCCTGACCTGGTGTTGCCTGACCTGGCGTAGCTCATAAGTTTGGTTACAGTTGCATTTACCAACTCTTGTGTTAAAGAGTTGAAATTCCTGCAGGGAACCGGATTATTCTACGAAATATTGACTCAACTAATCACTGACAACTAATCTAGATGCCCACGCAATTTGGTCACAGCCAGGGCGGGTGCAAAGAGCGAAAACGATTGCATTGGTGAGTGAAGAAACGTTATGATCCAAAAAGCACAGTGAGAAATGGTGTAGAAATGTGTAATGTGTTGCAACTTTATTGGAATTTAAAAGCTTCTTGTGACTCTTACGCCGTTCACTTTGCCCAGTACAATCACAGGCAGCCACAACTCATTACTTTACAATCTTATCACTGATTTTTGCCGATGGATCTCTCAGAGCTAAACTTTTTGTCCAAATGCAGGAGTTCGCCATAGCGTACTTGTACTGTACTTGTACGTACTGACTTTTATGCCGTCCATTTTTAAATGCAAATTTTCTTTAATGCAAAGTGGGCGACGAGTCACAAGTATTATTTAAAATTTTGAATACTTTTTGAATTCCCGAAAATCTTCCATTTAATTTTGAATCATTTCAGCTTGGTGCCCGCTTGGGCACTATTTCGATCGAGAGGCGAAAATTTGCGAGATGTGCGGCTTGAAAGGATATCAATCGGAAATCGGTACGCTTGGAAAATAAGTTTTGTGAAAATTCATTCTTTAATTCTTTTGCAAAATTGAATAATATTCTAACAATTAAAAGTTTTGGAAAAAAAGGATATCTAGGTTCCGATTCGTGTCTTCCATGTCCACCCGGCTATGTGCCCTTGTACAAAAATTCGACGGCAATCGAGCACTGCTTTCGTAAGCAACTTTATGCATGTCTATAAGAATCCTGTGTAAAACCTAGAATACCTTTAGTTTGCAAATAACGAATTAAAAAGATATTCAACTATGTCTTTTTTTGATTTTTTTTAGCCTAACGTGACAAGCTCCTGAAATTTGCAGTAGTTTTCGAAGTCTCGGTTTCAAAATGAACAGCTTGTTCCGTAACACAGTTGTTTAATAGTTTCTTCAAATAAACTTACGCTAGATTGTTAGCTGAATTAGATTATGACGAAACTTTTATGAAAAATTATTTCTTTTTAAAACTAAAGATGTATCTAAAGGATTTCAGAGGAGTGTCCACCCGGCTCGGAAAGACATGAGGACAAAGTGTGCAAGAAGTGCCCCATTGGATCGTTTAAGGTAAAAGGCACAACTTCTAGCTAAATTATGATCTAGATAAAGAAATTTTAGTCAAAAAACGAGCCAATGTGTATGCATTGTCCACACGGTTCAACGACAATGCACGAGGGGGCAAAAGGGTTGAACGAGTGTGCAATGGGTGAGTTGAAGATGGATTTTGCTGAAATGTTAGTCCAGAGTTTTCTTGGCTCTGTCCTCGAATCTAAACTTGCCTAAACTTTACTACCAAACCAGTGGCGAACCAAAAAAATGTAATCTTTCAGAAATCTGCAAACCGGGCTCGTATTTGAGTGAAGAAAGGCACGGGTGTCAGCCGTGTGAACGGGGATTTTTCTCGAATGGAACCGATTCAAGGCAATGTCAAAAGTGTCCAAATGGGACGACGACCTACAAAACGGGTTTTGTTTTAGTATTAAATTTCATTTGAGATTTGAAAAAGAAAAGCTTATTCTTTTCTTGAAAGCTTTTCTTTTAGAAAAGCTGACTGAACTAAGATGACTGATTTTGAAATTATTCCCATTACTTTGAAACACGATTATTTTGAAACACGATTTGAAACACGAAAAAAGGCAATAGCTGACAATGAGTGAATTTCGCAAAAAATCAAGTTTGAAACGAGGATTTACCAGGAATACTGAGCTTTTAGTCTGTTTTTAAAACCTAGTCACTACTTCCTTTTATTTCCAGGTTCAACTTCTGTCAACGATTGCTCGTCAACAGATCAATGTGCCTCGAATGTTCACAAATGCCATTGGCTTGCCGTTTGTATCGATTTGCCCGACGAGGGGGATCAACCAAGGCAAAAAATTTACCAAAACCCCCAACTTTAGCCTTACAGATACGCGTGCAAGTGTCGTCCCGGCTTTCTTGGCAATGGCTTTAACTGTTCAGGTTTCAGAAAGTTTTAAAACTCAAGACTTCTTCTCCAAGCTAGGCTAATAAGTTTCCGAGGTTCTCTAAAAGTTTAAACTAACTATAAACCCCAAGTTTCAATAAAATGTATTTTACATCCCATTTCAACCAAAATCAGCTGAGACACCAAAGGTTGAAATTGAACTGAAAACGGATTTCATCTTTTGATAACTTATAAAGCAAATACAATGTGGTGCAAAAGTCCTGTCCCACTTACTTTTCTGAAACATTTGGTCAAAATTCTAAAATTTTTCGAAAACAACTTTTTAAGTAAAGGGGTTTTTCTGAACCCTAAGTTGTAAGTTTTCATACAAACAAGTTTTTAGATTTTAAAAATTTATTACCTGAAAGAAAATAACAAATAAAGTTTAACATCAAAAAATGTATGGTGCAAAAGTCTTGTCCCACCATTAAAAAAGGAAAGCTAGATTAATATTTGGTCGGTCCTCCTTTAGCCAAAATCACTGCTTGAATACGTTGAGGCATTGAGTCGACCAAATCACGTAGAATTCCCGAAGAAATTTGTCGCCAAACGTTTCTGATAAAGAACCAAAGCTCGACCTTTGTGTTGAATATCTTGCCCCTGAGTTTAGTCTTTAAATGAGCCCAAAGATGCTCTATAACATTCAAATCCGGCGAATAAGGAGGCACTTTGATCAATTCTATACGATAAGCAGCAAAAACGCCGGGTAGGTGAGCTCTTCCTCCATTTGCAAGCCGGACAACTCGGCCCATCATTAGCGGACTTTTGTGGCATGGAGCGTTGTCTTGATATAAGGCCCATCCTTGTGGCATGTTCTTGTTTGCAAATGGAAGTGAGTTGTTCTCTATGATTTACTTGTACCTTTGAGCGTCGAGATTTCCATCGATAAACACTAGCGGTCCCGATACACTTCGATTCATCGAGCCTAAAAAAGACAAATCGTAAGTAAAAAATAGGGCGAACACTTACCCCACAACATAATGCTCCCAGCACTGAATTTGACCGTTGGCTTAACGTATTTGAGCTTATAACGTTGTCCAATTGGTCTTCTGATTAAATGGTTACCGTCCGGGTAGTATAAATTAATTCTAGTCTCATCGGTAAAAATGACTCGGGCCCAGTCATCGGAAGTCCAACACTCGTAGCTCTTTGCAAAATCATATCTCAGCTTCCCAGTTTTTGCAATGGTCAAGGGTCGTTTTGCTGGTCTTCTTGCATGCAATCCTGCTCGAATCAAGCGTCAGTTGATGCTCCATCGAGAAATAGTTTTGTTAGACGTGGCCTTCAACTTCATGATTCCATAGCTCGAAGTCAGATTTGGGTCGATTTTATGGTCAATGATAAGTGCTCGATCTTCAGTTTTTGTTGTAATCGGTCGACGACCACTTTTCGAAGCTCTGTGAAGACTTTGGCCTTCTTCCGATTTTGCTGCTAGCCGATTCACCGTCCTTTTATTGCATTTGAAGAGCATCGCAATAGACGGTGATGAATATCCATATTTCTTTGCTTGCACGATCTTTTGCTTATCAGGAGTTGATAAATATTTGCGAGTCGACATCTAAAAATAAAAATATAGTACAAAAAAATTCATGAGAACAAACAAAGGCAAAGAGAAAATACAAATTTTCTTAGTGAGACAAGACTTTTGCACCACCTTTTTTTCTCAAGTTTTACGAAAAAAAGGTTTTTAAAAACAACGAAATATTGGAGTACGGGCATTTACATAGTAAAAGATGAAGGGATAAGCCATTAAAAAAACCCGTTACTTAAAAAGTTGTTTTCGAAAAATTTTAGAATTTTGACAAAATGTTTCAGAAAAGTAAGTGGGACAGGACTTTTGCACCACAGTGTAGATGATAAATTATTGATAAACCGATGAACTGTTTCAGACGCCTGCGTTGGTCTTTGTTTGAATGATTCTGAATGTCTCAAAACGGGCGACGGTCGAACGAAATGCTTGTGCAAGGCCGGTTTCATCGGAAGACGCTGCGAAAAGAGGATATTTCAGACAAAATGAAGAATGAACTAATGAAATCATAATAATAAGCTTAATAAAACTTTATACCATTTAAAACTGCGTGAAAATGGCCATTAAAGCAGCTCGGATTGAAAATCCCAAATGTAATTCGATAACAAGCGCTTCAAAATCGTTATTTGGATACAATTCATTAAAACAAAATCAAAAATTTCGAAAAGATTTACCTAAATACTTCCATAGCTTCAAGTTTTTATCTTCTAAAACCCTTTTAAAAACCTTAAAATCCTCAGGAACTTACAACGATTTGACGTCTCGATTACAGCCAATCCCGTTTCGCTTTCTTTGCCGTGACCCCGACTTGGAACCAAGGCAAAAATCATTTGTAAAAGCTTAAAAATTTAATTTTACAGTTACATACTTTGGCCTTTGTCAGTTTTCCAATCATTTTAAAAGTTATCGGGTATTTTGAATGCGTCCTCATGCTTTGAAGGACTATAACTGGGTCCAGAAATAATATTTTTTGTAAACTTTTTATATCTTTGCATAGAGGACAATTCCAGCTTTCAAATGATATCAAATACGGGAAAGAGCTCAATTTAACTGTGTTAACTCGTTACCCGTCTATTGAAATTCTTGGATGACGAAAAGCTATGGTTCACAATTGGCTAGAAATGAGTCTCGAGTGCAACGTTGAACAGGATTAGGCAGAGATTGAAGAGAAAAGTTTTGATTCGCAAAGATTATTCAAAAATTCAAATACCTCCTCCATTTCTATGCATATTCCAAAATCGAGAAGAAAATTGGCGACAATGCGCTCGCGTCGTTCAAAGATTTCGGCAAAAAGCTCATCATAGACGGATGTTTTTGAGAGTGGAGTAGAAATTTGTTCTGCGAGCGTGCGAGTGACGGACTACGACTTCCAGTCGCAATTCGTCATCCAAGAATGCGCCAACCGATTTCCGTTTTGTTTAACCTGTGCACTTTACCTACATTATCAAATTCGAAATCAAATCTTTATGTTCGTGATGACCGTAAAATTTTACTAAGGAAAAGTCCTGACTTAGCTGCGAAAAATATCAATTTTTATGCGCACTTTAATAAAAAATAAATATAATTAATAAATAGATAAATATAATAAATAAAATAATAAATAAAAATTGATTGTTTCGCAGCTGAGTGTGAACTTTTCCCTTCACCTAATAGTTAGCAACTTAATCTTTTATGTAAGCTTTCTAAAAATACCAAGATTTGAGTTTGATAGCTTGTCAAATTCGAACCCATACCTAATTGAATAAGATTTGCGCTGATAAATTACAAGTTTACAAATAAATTTTTTAGCCGGTTTTCGACGTTGTTGAGTTTTTCAGTTCATATTTTTTTTTGATATACTTCTTTGATCCATTCTCAACTCAAAGAATTAAGAGTGCTTTTATGTTTTCAAATAAAGCTGAATAAAGTTGTACTGTTGAACTGTTGAACATAAAGTTTTTTTATCGGAAAACACTACGCTTGGGATTTTTCAAAATGCATTTGGAAAAGAGCTTGTCATTTAAAGTATTGGTTTACAATTACTCATAATGATAGTTGAGTGAAAGCCTTAGCTTTAGTTGTGAATCGAGTTTGCGACAAATCCCGGATCAGACGTTGAGTAGATTTTGTTCCTCATACGAGGGACTCTCAACAATTTCAGCACTTCTTTTCGCATCGTTTTATTCACGGTCAGGTAGAAAATTGCCATCGAGCCTGCAAATTTAAAGAGAGATTTTGGAACAAAGCAGTACAAAGATAAAATGTCAAACTTTTTATAAAGTTCAATTGGTTGGAAATGAATTGAAATATTTGTCTAAAGTAAAACGAACCATTCGAGAATTGCCAGCACAAGTTGGCCACCGTGATCATAAAGATGGGCATCGGGATGAACTGCATGATCACATAAAGCCAGCCAGTCACCAGCACCGACATACTGATGCCCAGGCATTGCATGGTGATCTGGATAAAGAGGGTTTTTCCCTAATCTTTCCCATTCACTCACGATCCGCTGCGATTTCGTTATGGTGACGATATTTTTGTTCAGCATCGACTTGACCATTGAAATGTTTAGAAATAAAACCAATGCCGCCACGAAAACATTGTTGATCGGATAGATAAATGGTGCCTAGAGGGATGAGTATTGTTGTCAAATGGGGTAACAAATGGTCTCTAAAGGACTTTTAGATTTGCTCCCGGCCGTTAACCATTATATTCTTCGCTTTATAGTTTGCCACGCTAAGATTTCCAAAAAATTTTGTTAAGCTGTTAAAATTGCGTCGGTGAAAAGTTTATCAAGGCCTGAACCAGGGCAGGATTTGGCTTTTGGTCCTGACCCTGCATCGAGATCAGGTCAGAGGTCAGTGCTAGTCCGGTTTCTATTCCTATCTATGACCTCCGGTCTGGTCCAGTTCACACAAAGCTGCCTGAGCCAGACCTGGCTTCTGGTTTTGGCCTGGTCTATCCAGACCTGACTTGAGCTGACCAAGCCAGCCTGACCCCGAGCCAAATCGATCAGATCCCAGTCCCAATCATGGTCTGAACTGACCTACAAAAGCTGGATACGGCCAGAAGTCGGTTCTGGCCCGGATTTTGGTCCTTAACGTGGCCTGGTTTAGCTTACAACAGTGCTTTGATGAAGCAAACTAATCTACAAACCCAAGCCCTTGGATTACGCTGAGCTGGGGCATCAATGCAAACTAGCGCAACCGATTCTATTTCGTCTTAACCTGGGCTTTCGCGGGATCGACTCCGAAATAGTAGCTGGCGGTTGGGGCATGGTAAATCGCCGACGGCACTTTAAGATACAACAGAAGACCATAAACGATCGGCACTCCCGTCCACAGGATAACCTTTTTTCCGCCAAATAACATCTAAAGCCTGATAGCCTTGTCATTCCTTAAAAGTCTACTTTTTGTTTATTCGGAGAAGCAAAGTCGACATAGCGATTGATGGCCAACGAGATGCTCAGCCCACTGTATACGGCCCAGGAAGCTGAACATACGTTTAGAAATATAGACTGTGTAAACTTTGCAAGTTGTGCAACTCTGGTGAACAAGTTTTTCTGAAAAAAACCCACGGAAAGAGGTCGCCCCAAGGCTTAGATTGAGCAACGGGCTCCGACAGAACGATTGCCCGGTGATCAGAAAATATCCGGGCAACAGAGAGTTCGAGATCAATCCCAGCATGTCGAAGCAGCCAATCACAAAGCTAGAAACGGAAAACTATGATTGACTCTAGCTGTTGTGTGATTTTTAGCAAAGCAAACTAGCAAAGTTTAAAGCAGCTTTACAAATTTACACCTGTACAAGTCTCATCCAAAAACTTTGGTTTCAATTTCTCACACTATCCGTTTACGCTGTTAATTTTAATGTTCCAGCTCACGTTGTCCTTTTTCTAGCTTTTTCTTACTTAAAAAAAACAATTCAACTTCAGTAAATGAATGTCATTGTTGTTGTTGTTGCTTTGTTCATTCATTCATTTTTTTGCACAGATCACAAAAACTCACAGTATCCGATAGCAGATTATCCCCAGAAATTTCCGTTGACACATCGCCAACATGCACAATAAGTAGAGGAGCTCGTAAGTGCTGCCGATGAGCACGTAAATTACCCCTGGAAGCTTTCATGATTGCAAAATTGGATACTTGCGCATCTTTTCCAGTCGTTAATATGCGCAATAAGTTAGAATGCAAATTGATCTTTGATATCTTACTTCATCATTGAATTTTAGCATATTTTATCCTAGTTTTTATATGGTTTTAAATTGATTTAAGCTAGAATTAATGAATATAAACCTAATAAAGTCATTTATACTATTTCCCCCTTATTTTTAAAAACTAGAGACGTTTATCCTCTTTTGGTTCGCTGAGCAAACATACTGAAGTACTGATTTAACTTTTCAAAGGTTTGTTTTTATTCAAAATTGAATTGTTTTTCAAAAAAGCGTGTACCTTTGGTGATATTCTGCCGAATTTCCATCAGTTCCCGATTCGAGTTGCACTGATTGGCGTAGATTTGAAGCATTCCCGGGTGCAGTAAATCGTAGAACTAAAATGTTAGGTTTATGAATCAAAATTCATCGAGAACTATGACCGAATTCACCTGCACTAAAAAGCTACTTGAGAAGGTGAAGTTGTTCATCGGTGTTGAGAAATTCGTAGAACGGCTTTGAATAGAGTGTATTCCGCGTTCTCTAAAATGTGACAACTTTTAAAAAACTACCATAATCTTGCTAGTTTTCATCGGAAATATTTACTTTAAAGCTACTTTAGGGTTTACAAAGGATATTGAAAGATACAAAAAGTAGATAGACTGAATAAAAACAAGCGAGTTTACGATGGTCGAGAAAGTGACAACGTTTTAGAAAAAGGTTGTTCTTAAAAAGCAAACTTCTAGGAGAAAAACTGAGGTTTACGGTAGGTTTAAGTTTACGGTAGCTTCGCAAAAAGATAACACGTTTTAGAAAACGGATTAGAGCAGAGGAAATTGCGAAAACCGGAAGCTGAGCAAAGCGTTCTTATGAACCCAACTCTTTTCACTACAAAAGATGTTATTGGCGATAAATTTTGGAGAATTAAGAGTTATATTCGATGCGTTTTTGTGTGTGTTCGAACGTCAATTCCTCAGAGATAATTTTCGAGAGAAAACTTTAATCTGCCTTTTATTTGATACTTTGATTCTATTTTTTACATACAGATCCCCTGGGAAAACAGTCAAGTCCACAAAAGGATGGTCATAAATTGTGAAAAGGAGTAATTTTATATTTCGTGAACTTCAAATTCATAGAAATCTCTCGGAACCTTTGTCGTCAATGGACAAAGTTCAACTTGCAAGATGTGGAGTCTCAAAATGCAGATGTATCTTGTAACTCGCAAATCGCCAAAAGAAGTGACTCACTAATTTTTCATACAGAAGACTTCAAAAAACGACAAAAAACCTTCAAAAGCCTTCCTTGACTAAAATTTACTGCAACTTTAACATTTTTGGCTTTATCGGGGCCTTAAAATACCGTAAATATTCTAATAAAAGAGCCCCCTATAGGAGCGTCACGTGGTCTAAGTTTACTCTTAAAAAAACGCTCATATCTCGACACCTTTTGCACGCTTAGATATCAAATTAAAGTAGAGAAGATGGGTGATTTTTTCAGATATAACACATATTTTTAGCATTAACCAACAAAGAAAAATATCGAAATATGCACAAAACTAAATGTCTTCAACTTTTTTTTGACTGCCGTAATCCTGTTATCCAATCTATCCACAAAGAAAAACCAAACTTGAGGTCGAATTATTCATTTTTTTGTGCGATATTTAGGCTTGAAAGCACCGAATTGTCGAAAACGCGAAAAAGGAGCTTTGGCGGAGAAGGATCCCGTTTATAATATAGATATTCGGAGGAGAAAGGTGCCTGCTGACTATCAGGTTTGTTTTTGTGATCAGTACATTTTGGTGGTGTAATGTTTAATGTATTTGGTACTATGTGTTTGATTTTCTTACACTGAAATCTATCTGTTTCTAACTGAAAATTTCGGTCGAACTGTTTATTCACAGTAAACATTTGCCGTATTTTCTCTAATTGTAGTGCACCCCGAGTTGGCCACGATTTTACGGTTTTCAGGCTTTTCCAGAAGCTCAACACTCTAATCCCTCACTAGATCCTCATCATCTCATCGTCAGCTACATTTTCCGACCTCACGTCGATAGGTTCTGATAAGCGGTTCTCGAGATTTCAAGGAAGTTAGGCGAAGCTTCGGGTGCACTACTATAAGAGAAAATACGATAAATATCAAACTCAATGAACAAGTCGAAATTCACCAAATCACACATTGAAAAACCCGTGTAGACGCAAATTTGCGAGGAAAAAGCAAATAAAAAACTGAAAAATGATCAACTAATCAAATACTCATCATGTTCATCAATATTCGTGAAAAGAGTCGCATTCGATTGCGCGATCAAATTGTAATTCGAAGTGAGATTTGACACCTGAAATTTGTTCGAGTTTTCTATTTGTTTCAAGGTTGTATGGGTGCTCAAAAATCTAAACGCATTTTTTTTCTTTTTTGTCAAATTTAACCTGAATCTCCTCGATTCCGTTGTTTTTCGCCGCTTTCCGTTTTTTGTCGATTTGAGAGCGAAAAGCCGTCGTTTTACCTTAATTGGGTTAGCAAGATTATTGAGCTTTTCAGTTTCAAAGTGGTCAAGCCTGAAAAATTAGTACTAAATCGATTTCTAAAACATTAATACTAACAATCTCTAAATCCTTGACATTCTTGTCGTAAGTAGACTTCTAAATTCCTCAAAAAATGAATAACCGTATATGAAAAGTCTTTTTGCTGAAAATTTTCGTTTCAAAATTGTTAACCAATAAAACCCAAAGGTTCCTAAAATTCAAATAGTTAATCGTAGTCTAATACCAACTATTGTAACACTAATTCTCGTAGCTGATCGACTGGGCTGACTCAATTTTCAAGTTAACTTTGTGATAAAAGTGTTTTCAAGTGGATATTAATGTTTTGGTGAACTGATCGTTTTTGCTTTTCTGAAGCTTTTGCTTTTTGAATTTGATTTAAAACTTTCTTACCAATCGCAAAGAAACCGAAGAAAACGTGGAGAACGGTGATGCCGAAAAGAGGAATTGTGATTGGCGGATGGGAATGCGGAGAGAATAAAGCCAACAGAAGGAGCGAACAGCACATCAATCGCTGGAAAGGAGCGAGTTTTGAAATTCACAAGAAATTCCATGTACAAACTGACAAACTTATCGCTGTATTTGACAACTCATGCTTAATTATAAGAAAATTTATCAAGTTCAACTCACAAAAATGATGAGAACAAGTGAGATGAGTGAGTAGAGCATGAGATTCGACGAGCCTTGGTGCGAAAGACCCTGAAATTTCAAGAATTTCCAATCAACAAAGAAATTTTTGGGGATAAAGTGGACAAGAAAATGTAATACTTGAATGAAATTTCGCAGCTTACCCGATTGAGGTAGACAAGCGATGAGAGAGAGATAGTGGTGCCCAAGAGGAGAAAGACGGAGGGAAGCCAGAGGAATAATGGGGGACGAGAGATGAGAAGAGCCAACGAGCCGAGCACCAATGTGAAGAGAGCCTGTGCAATTCGATAGGTTTAGGCTTAAGTTTACAGCTTAGAAATTGAGACTCTACTACTTTGGTTTTTGGGAAATGTTGTATTTGGTCGAGTGCAATTGCCATTTTTTCAGTTTTTCTTAACGCATTCGCGACGATAGTTTTTGGGCGGCGTAGAGTCGCGTAGTCGTTAGCCGTTTTATTGATAATTTGGTGTAAATTCAAAGATAAACTAAACTATTATAGTCATTCAATAGCCCTGAATCTCCTCTTGGAAACTAGTACGAAATTACTGAGAACTTGCTGCAAAATAAATAAGAAAAGTCCTTGAAAACTTGACTTGGCACCAAAAATAATCGGGATTAGTACGGCCGACCGGTGGGCCGAATAGTCGTGAATGTGTTAAACACTCACAAAGAAAATCTCCGTATAGAAAACATTGTTGAGCGGAGTTCGTCGCTTTGGTGGTTTCTCAAGTATCTCATCCATCACATCTTGTTCGAATTACGCTCACTGAACGATTTTGGTTTGGTTCTGGAAATGAATTGTAGTCAAAGAATCAACAGCATCAAGAATCAAAAGAAAAAGATTTTATTTCATTCTTAGATTAAATTATCTACTAATAAGTTTTCAATTCTCACATTTCAAAATGTTCAACTCAGAGGTTATAAATGTATCTTTCATAAAAAAAATCAATATTAGAGACTTTGCGTTTCAAGGCTTGTTATTAAGAATGCTTTGAAATATTGTTGTCCATAAAAAAACCAATTCAAACCTAAAGCGAGAGTGGCGCAAAAACAAAACAATGATTCAAAAACTAAGATGGTGCAGGTGTTCAAAATATTCAAGTTTCGAGCTATTCAACCACAAAAGTACCAAGAATTGCATAACAGCAATACTGAAAAAAGGTGTTATAGAAAAGAAATCTACGACAAAAACATAAAAAATTCGTGTACTCCTGCAATTCGTGTGGCCAAGTCTGCGCCATACATTATTGATGATGGTTTGAAATATTTTGATTGCCTTTTGGAAGAGAAGACTCATCCGCCCAAGAAGTAATTATTTGTGTGTGAAAGGAGAGGGGAGAAAAGGAGAAAACGGGGGGAGGGATTGCGTGCACACTTGTTCCGATTCAATGAAATGACACAACTTGTCGATATTTCTGGAATTTTTCTGATAGGACAAGAAGAGATTTTACTTGGGAAAAATTGAAACAAATAAAGATTTGAAACATTGTTTTCAGATCAAAACTGAAGTTGTTGTTGTTTAAAATCCCAGCAAAATGTTTCTAAAGGAAAATTTAAAAGTTGAGAAATAGAAAAAGCTTTCTTGATATCTGTCATTTTTGAGAAATCCCAGAGGTTTTCTTTTGTTTCCAGAGATTTTATGAGAAGATTAAGATTTGAGGAAAGCAAAGTGAATCCTGGTTTTGAATTGGAATAGAGTTGTGAATTGAATACCAAATATTGGATTCCTCTTGATTAAATTGCTCTTATGTGAAAGCTACCGTAATCAAAAGAAAGCCACAGTTCTAAATGGTGAGCAAGTTAAGCTAGTGAGCTAATTAAGCCAGGAAAAGGAGCTAGTTAAGCCAGGAAAAGCTAGTGAGCCAGAGAAAGCCACCATAAGCTCCAGAGAACAGTAATCCCACTATCGGTTTCTACTATCCATAAGTTTTAAGATGTTCATTTTAAGTCAAAGCAAGTGCGAAAAGACAGCCAGATTACGATAGTTTTTCTTCAAAGCGCAACTTTTAGCAAACTGTTAGAGGCTTGAGGGCTGGGAAGGGTTGAAACCAATCGGCGTGTTGTCTCATCGTTCTCATCAAAGAGAGATCGAGACACCCGCACACAGACGGCTCTAATTTGAGCCCACTTTCACTCCTCCTCCCGACTCGGCCATCTTTCAGAGCTCTTTCCATTCAAGTGGAATGGGGATCCCTACCCTCCAATCTAGCCCTAACTCCACCTCCCCTTCAATCCCTTTCCACACCCCTTTCCCATGTCGGATTACCACTCCTTTACCCCCTTCCCATGTCGGATTTCCAATACTAACACCACCCAGCCACCCCCGGTTCTGACAAATTGAATCCACGAGTTATTGGCTTAGCCTGTGTTTGTGGCTAATCGACGAAACCGCTAATCTTTCAGTTCAATTTGTTCTTTTTAGAGAAAGCCCGAAGCAAAATGACATTTGAATCAGAGCTTCTGATAGGGTTTCGATTTCGAAATACATGTGCAATGATGTCGACCAAAGTTGGCACCTAATCAGCCTTGTATACTTTGAAGTTTTTTGAGATTAGAGATGAGAATTGGCAGACTTAACAAAATGAATAGCTCAAATCGATTCGCCGATCCTGAAAACCATCGGGTACAAATTTACAGCTGAATACCTTCATTCCCTACAAAGCAAAAGAGAAATCCCTATGTAAATGACTGGCGAGGTGTTCTCTGTGCGATCGCGTAATCGCTTGCGACCTGGCATACCCGTCCGGTATAGGGGGCTTCTCTTTTAGAATCGGTAAAGGGGACTGAGCCGGCTTCAGGATTTTCGGGGTCACTATGCCTAAATTTTTTGGAAACAATTTTTACTTTAAATTTGGTTGCTTTTTTTGATAGAAATTCCTTATCCTATTAAACCATTTTTTCACTTAAACAGTAGCCAAATTGGAAGAACCCAAGAGTTTTTCCGACTGATTCCCTGATTTGGTGATTTATTTTTTAAAAAATAGTCTTTAATTTGTATTAAATAATTGTTATTAAATAATGTAAAGCTCAGCTTCTACAGTAAGCCTTTAATCATGACTGTGAGAATCCAGGAAAAAAGCGCTTAGCTGACTGAATATTTTAAATTTCTAAAGCATATTCAAAATATTGGTAAAATATTGCAGCCATTTTTAATCATGAAATGATAAAATTTAGATCCTGATTCAGAAAAAAACAAATTCAAGTAATGGGAAAAGTGAAAATTTGTCGAAAACGGGGGAAACATATGGAAAATGGGGAGGGGATTTCTTCCGGAAAATGGAGGGATTTTTGGGGGAAAGGAAGAGAAGAGAAATGCAAAAAGAAGGTGAGAAGATGGCGATTTTCTCGATTCTCGTCTTTCTTTCCTCGGGAATTCACTCGAAACACACCTTTTCGAGAGAGAAAATTTCTGGAAAAGGCGACAAATCGAGGTGCAAAGGAAAGGAAAGGGGAGCGGGATTTGACAAACTAGAACCAATTTCAAGAAGAAAAAGAAAGATATTCAACTTATAAACCATATGTTTTATGGTTTTTGGATATTTAAGAAATTCAATTTGCATATTGCAAATGGTTTCCCCTTTTTTCCATTCCTCCGAACGCTACCGCATCCTGTTTTTGAAAGCGAGCATCAAATGTGTCTTTGGCAAAAGCCCGAACTGAAAAATGAGTTTATCTGGATAAAAATACTCAATAAGTTGAAATTGGGCAAACATCCGGGCAAACAAGGACACCATGACCTCCATCGATTAATGTGAACTTTGAGGTTGTTTTGTAGTAACATTTTTCGACTCTTATCGGGTTATTGGGTTTAGAATGGTGAGTAAAGATCTTTTTCAAAACTTTAAAAGATCTTTGTTCCAAAATTAACATCTTTAGCGATTTTTTACAGTCACTGTAACTTGAAAAGGAAAAATTTTCGAAGAAAATTGAGCAAGAAGTAATCTAGCTCAAGCGGCACCCGAAGCTTCGCCGTAGCTCAATTTTCTCAATTTTACATTGCGTGAACAAATTCAGTTCTATTTGTTTTCATTAGACACAAAAACAGACATGTGGGAATTAATGTGAGTTTTAAAGTGGCGGATTCGGGTAACGTAAACGTAAAGCATTTGTATTTTTGGGAAGCTAGACTTGATTGAATTTTCTTTATGAAGGATACTTTTGAAAAGCAAAACTTTCAAAAAACTATTGAGATAGTAAAGGAAATTTATATACAGAATTTTTAAAAACGTAGGCACATTCTTTAAAATCCACTTATAGGATAAATTGTAAGGATTGGAAAAATTTGGAAGAGTATTTTTTTGAAGCGTATGTTTTGAAAGCGTGTGTTCAAAAAAAGCAAGCCTCAAATCCAAATTTTCGAACATTTCCTTTTGTGCTGTCACAAAAGGGAAAATGGATTCACGCTGAGTGATTGAAAGAGATCGGAGAGAATCGTTTTTTTGGGAAAGTTAATGGTTTTTGTATGGCTTAAAGTCTATAACAATCTTCTATTAGAAAAATGAGTATTGAGTATGAATTAAAAGTTCTTCTTCTTATTTGAAGTTGAATGTTTTAAAACTGATAATAAAAAACTGCCATAGATACTTTTTTCAAAAAAAAATCATTCTTATTTCCCAAAAAACATTGAAACTCGAACAAAAATATTCAAATATTGAGTCGAAAATGGGAAAAATGGAGTAGAGAGGGGAAAGAACGAGAGATTTTGTTGAATGGGTAAAAGAGAAAAAAGGGAAAAATTGAAACTGGATCCCCTCAAAACATTTTTTTTCCCCACACAACCAACATACGCCAACAAATCCAGCCCACCGACAATTGAGATTCCCAATTTTGGAAATGAATTTGCGAAAAGTTTTGGGCTTTCTTGTTTTGTGTGAAAAGTATTGTTGAAGTTTTTGATTTTCGGCAAAATTCACATCTCCGGCGATGACGGGGATGAGAACTAACGAAAGGATTTTCTTTTTGAGTTGCAAAAAGTTGGAACTTGAGGCTTTGAAACTTTAAAATACAAATACAGCAGAAATTCTTCCATGAACCTTTTTATGATATTGAAAAAAAAGGAGGGTACGTCCAAGAACTAAAATCAGACGTCCCTTTTAAGTCGAATAAATTGAAACGGAACTCGGAGAATGTCAAAAAATACTATAAATCGTCAAACACCCAGCTTTCGCGAAAATTTGTGTACGGTTGTTGAAAGAAGTGAATGAATGAAATGGAGAGTGGGCGTCTCACTTCACTTCAAAATCTTGTGCTTCAATTTCGCGCGCACCGTACATACAAAAGGAAAAGAAGAAGAAAAAGACAAGAAAGGGATCACTTCTCACCGCACACAAACAAACAAACACACTCACTTCTCAACATCCCCAAGTCAAGGAGAAAAAGATTTTCCTCATCAATTTTTAACTCATGTTTGTTATGGAGTTGAAAATTGGCAAAACGCTGGAAAAATTAAAGTTATACATGTTGTGTCAGATTTGGATTCAGTCCGATTTGGATTCAAATCACTGTGGACTTCCGATCTGGATTTCAGTCTAAATTGGACGTCCGATTTAGACTGGAACAATGCTACATATGCTTTCTTGTGAGTTTTTTATATAATTCCTGTAAACTTCTATATGTTTTCGCTTAAGACAAGATTTAAAGGTACGAAGTGTATCTTTTTAGCTGTTAAACACTGAAGAAATGTCGCCTAATGTGAAAATAAAACAAAACAATAAAACAAATTTACCGTTTATTTACATTTTTAGCTGTCTTCTTTTGTTTTCAAATGCGCTTTTTATCTAAAGGTTTATTAATTGGGTTATTTTTCAAGCCAAGAAAGCCGCCCGAGGATCTCGATGATGAACGTGATCGAGGCAACAATTGGAAACGGTATATTTTTACAAGTTTTGTCAAATTAATCATTTAAACAATGATACTTATTTTTACTTATTTTAACTATTTTTTTTTGTTTAGGTTATCAAACGGTGCCCGGAATTAAACAGGAAGTAGAGCTAACATCATCAAGCAAGCCAAAAAACAGAGAGGTCTGTGTTTGTGCATCCTTTTTTCTTTCACTCATAGACTGGTAATTGGTGTTGTTGTTTTACAGATGCAAGCCCGTCTCTACAAAGAATTCAGCGACTACTTGGCAAAGAAAAAGTCGAGTCAAATTTCGACAACGCAAATCTATGAGCTGATGGTCGATAGAATCAAATACAAATCTGGGCTGAAGAATGAAAAACTGAATCATCATGAAGCCAATTTGCTAAAGCGATACATTCTTTCGATCGAGAACACAGAAACCATTTTTTATCATCAGGATGAACGACAGAAAGATGAAAAGGAACAAGAAAGGAAACGAGTGATTCAATAAGAACATCTCTTCACTGTCCTCCACAATTGTCACAAGAAGCTGGGACACGCGGGAGTAAACTTGATGTGGCAAGATCTAAGATGCTTTTATGAGATTTCCAAGTAAATAATTGGCTTTTAATTTTTGCTTTAGCTTGTTATTTAGAGACATCCTCGGTTTTTTGTTATTTTTTTTAGACATCATCATCGGTTTTAAATGCGAGCTGAAACGACGAAATCCAAAGAAGACAGTCCTGGTGAAGCCGATTTCGACGGAAAAAGTAAAACGAAAGATGTCAAGTCAATCTCATGGACCTTCAATCGACGCCTGAAGTTATGTTTGTTTTCACGGTCATGTTTTTAGAAGTACCCCGAACAACTTCTCGACGATCCTTATTTCTTTTGTGCAAATGGCTCTGTGGGCCAATTCATGTCATCAGCAATGACACTCTACATGGTTATAGGAGCCTGTACTGGACTATGCAAGTTGATTTTAGCAATTCAGAGTTAAATAAACCTAGATTTAATTGCTCCATGTTACTGGGCCCTCTATAAACAGGGCAAGTTGAAGCTGGTGAGTGCGAAAACGCACGAATTGAAGAAGAAACTCTTTGTGAAGTTCAACTTTGTGAAGTTTTGGTGAGAAGGAGAATATTACTGTCTTCTTTTCCGTTCTCAGCATCCGCAGGGACTGTTTTGGCTTGGCTTGGCATTGGCTGTTTATTCTTTATGACTTTGATTTACCCGAGTAGACAGGCTTTCGCTCGAGACTTTTCAGCTTTTAGACAAAATCGCAGAGTAATCGGGAATTAGGTTCAGGTTGGAATTTTCTCATGTCTATTGTGCACCAGGACAGACCGTGCCTGCCAATTGACACAAAGTCTTGTGGCGCACAATAAAACTTTTTATGCCAACTACTATGTTTTTCTTTAATTATGACATTTTTATTTTTATCAACAACGACTTTGGTGCACCGTTTGCGACACTGAAAAGCTTTTGTTTGTAGAGTTTCTTCTTTGTCTGAATATTCAGTCGTTAAGAGATTTTACGAATGTAAATTTATTCCGTTTTAAACATTGTCACAAATCTTTTCACGGGCATTGACAATTCGGAGCAAATCCATGACATCCGATCGGACATCGATCACAGCGACAGCTCGGTGGAAGCCCAGTACATCCGATCGGACAAAAGCCAATCGATCGTTTGACTAAATTATTCCGTTCAAAAATATTGATGCTTTCAAAACTGTTAAAAGAATTTGAAAAAGATTTACAACAAAGAAGCCACCTGTACACAAGCAATTAGGCCAAGTTCCAGAACACCAGCGCGGACATTGTCTGGAAGCGAGAGCTTCGTTCGATGCTCCTTGTGCTAAAATTTGATTTTTTTTAGCTTTTTAGCTTTTTAGCTTTTATTTAACACTAATTTTACAGTTACGCTAAAAAGTTACCCGCTACAAGTCCGATAATCATCAAAACAACGCAAAACTTGGAATTCATTTTGTTTTGGATGTCTCACTCTTGTGCCAACAGTTTCTTTTTATATTCTTTTTCGACATGTTATTCAAAAAACAATTTGTCATAAAATTTGACTATTATATTAAGAAAATCAACGAGAATGTTCAAAAATATTTACTTTTCACTTCTCGGTTGTCGATTTTCTGTTGAGAACAGTTTTGTTTACCGCTCAATTTTTATCATGAGTCATGGCAATTTCGGGTAAAAAACAAGGCTTTTTGAAAAGCATTTCTAAACCAGCCAAAAAGATGATTTTTTGCTAAAGTATTTTTTGGGCAGCCGAAAGGAACAAAAAAACACATAGAATTGGTTGAAAAAGGTGGTAACTTGGTCATACTTTATCTGTTTCCAACAATTTTGATATTTTTGAGAATTTAATTTTGCATTGAATGTTATAAAGGACATCGAAATTGGATCCTTTATGACAAAGCTATATTAAAAAAAACCTTACCCACTAAACCTTTGAACCCTTTAAACCCTTTGAACCTTTGAACTTTAAACTTTCTAGGTTGCCGTTTGAAATAAATCAAACATCCTGTTGACTTAACTTATCATAAAATTTATTGAGCTTTTTTGTAGAGATCAAAATCATCATGATAGATAGCTTCAACGTATTTCTTCGTTGTCTCATTCTTTTCAACGCTCATCTTCAACTGTTTCATTACGTTGGAGTTGTGTTTCGAGTTCACCGTGCTTGATTTGTAGATGTGGCGAATAGCCTAGAAAATTTGTTTATGAATAGACAAAAGTTTTGTTTTTGTTTTACATGATTGACTTGATGGTAACGTCATTGGCGGGTTTCAAAGAACTACATACTTTTCAGCAAATTCTATCGATTTTTCAAGGAAATTTTTAAACGTTTTATTGACAAACTTACCAACCAACTAATCAATTACTTGTAGTTGATTGTTTTCTCTAAAGTCTTTACCTTATTTGAGACTTTTATGGGAACATTGGCCTCTTTGAACACCTTCAACAACCGTCTAGCCATTGCCTTTTTGTCGTAGGAGAAACGGAGAACTTTGATCGGCTGTTTGTTGATTTTACAAAAGCTAAACACTAACTTTTAAAGTTTTACATCTTCTGCAAACCTGGATTGTGGATAAGCATGATAGTTGAATCCAAAATCCTCTCCAGTGAGCGTTTCTTTGTTTGTCCTCAAATCGTAGATCCATTTCGCGAACTCGTGAATATTACGGCCCTGGCAGAAGCCCTTTGTTGAGCTAAATTTGAATTTAATTAGCTTCATTTTTTCCCTTTACATGCAAAAGTGTCCATGCAAGGACACAAATCGATCCGTTGGATGTCGAATGAACGTGAATTTGACTAATTCCTTTGACTTTTCCCATTTAGCTGCTCGTTTGCCAGCATAGAAGTTGTGTTTTTTGCATTCACTAAACACATACCGTATTTTCTGTGATAGTAGTGTACCCCGGCGAGTTGAGTTGGTCACGATTTTACGGTTTCCAGGCTTTTGCAGAGGCTCAACACTCTAATCCCCCACTAGGTCTCATCGTCAGCTATATCTTCCGACCCCACATCGATAGGTTCTGATAAGCGGTTCCCGAGATTTCGAGCAATTTAGGCGACGCTCAGGGTGAACTACTATTAGAGAAAATACGGTAATTAATATATTTTTGATTTGAATACGGTCGAACTTCGATATAACGTACACTTCGGTATAATGGACCCTATATTTGGTCCCGGCCAAACGCTTAATAGAACGTTAAGAAAAAGGCTTCGATATAGCACCACGGATACGTTACCGTATCCGTATTACATTTCCATATAACGAATTATTTGCTAAAATGCGGGCAAAGCAAAATGGATTTCTGCTTTTTTTCAATATCAATTTTCAATTTTATAGTTTATATTTGATTGCCACTTTCGTACAGATAAAGAATCAGAGAATGTTGTTATCACGAAACACTTAAATTCTCCAACAACTCACGTGTTTCCATCAATTTCTCTCGAGAAACGCTGTTTATAGTGAATGCTTTTGTAATCTCTCAAAATATCACACAACAATCCACTTGTAATCGTCGATCCTGTCTTGGGAATGGCACAGAAGTCAACACCAAACTCTGTGCTGTGCTATAAAACAATTGTTCTATTAACGCTGAGAAAAAGTTTCACATTAAGTTAATTTTTCTTCACCTTTGGATTGATTCTTTCGATAGGTTGAATAGGTGTCGGTAACCATTCGATTTTTGTCGATTCTGATGATTCGATCGTTGTATTGAGACAGTGAACGATGAAGAAGAAAATAACAAATGATAATAGAAAGAGATTTGAGCGGATCATTTTTAAGGAATGACAAATTGAATAAGCTATCCACACTATCTCGACAAAAAAAACTAGAAAGGTGGCAAATCGAAAATGGGAAGAGGTGGGCAATCAAGTTCGGCAATTTGAACCCTCCTCGATTGAGAAAAACGCTTGAGTTCGGTTTTCGAGAGCTGATTTTTCATCAGGTACCCACAGGGTGACCCATAATTATAAGTGCAGTGACTTATTATTCATTATTATTAATTATCTCGATCTCCTCAAAACTGAAAGTCTTTTTGCAAAGTCAAGTTTCCCAACTTTATGTCTTTTTCTGAATGACCACCCAGCTCTCCGGATCTCAATCCGATGGATTATTCTGTCTGGTCCGTTCTTGAAGCAAAAGTCTGCGCAAAACCGCATAAAAATGTTGAAAGTTTGAAGAAAAGTCTTCTGAAAGCCTGAGACGAGCTCGATGATTCGACTTGGTCGCCATCGTGGACGCCTTTCGTAAACATTTGACAGCGTGCTCGGCTAAAAATGGTGATAGCTTTGAATTTAATTGTTAATTTATTGTTCATTGATATTAAATAAAGATTTTTAAAAAAAAAATTTGCTCTCTAAAGTTTAATCTTGTCTACCTACAAAGCTTTTTACCTGCACCTATAAATTATGGGCTTTCCTGTACTCATGAAACATTCGACAACCTGTATCAGAATCCTATTACTCTCGGATAAATTAACTACCATTTGTATTAAGGGGATTCCCGTGTTATAGTCAAAAACGATGTCTCTATCAAAACCCAAATTTGGCGCATCCAATAATACCAAGAATATTTAAATTGGACAGCCCAACACCAAGATATTTGAGCGAAAAGTTGGGTTGCTAATGGCAAGAGAGCGGGGCGCGGATCAAATGTCCGATAACCCAATTCACTTGCCTGGATTTCTTCAGTTGACTAAAAAATGGACTTGTTTACTGATTTTCAAACAGTTGAACTTGATAAAACGATTTTCATAGATTACTAACGAGAATAGATCTGTGAAGGGTTTCTGGGCGATGGATGATAAGTGTAGGTTTGCTTCAAGTGACCTGAGTATGTGTCATCAAGATATCTAGCTTATTTATCGACAAATACACTCAAATTTTGCCTATCAAGAACACTAGTTGTACCAGAGGAACAGCAAAAGACAAGCTCAATGATGACTTCTCCAAGCAAGATTACTCCAAGTCTTTCTTATCACTGACTCATTCAAAAAGCCCACACATCAGAAGCTTTCTTCCGATCAAACAACGAACAAAGTAACGGTTTATTAGGAAGCATTTCACTGATAAGTGAGACTCTCTCCGACAGAACAAATGAATTATTTCCTGAAATTTCTTTTCATTGGCTTTATACAGCACATTCTTTCATGTCCAGATGGAAGTTATCCAATAGTGAACGATGATGAATGTTTGTGGGCAATCGGGGATTGTAAGTTGAACATTTTAGACAAGTAGTTTTGAAATTTTAAATATTGCAGATGTTTTTCTGGTAATTTTTAATATTTACTCGTGATTGGTAACAGTTAAGAGAACGCTAAGCCTTATGATCAACCAAAATTAGCTGTGACTTATCTGTCGAATTAGCTCAATAATAAAAAATAAAAAAACGACAAAATATCATGTAAATTAAAAGAAGGAAGGCTAATTTTATATCGTAATCACTTTCTATGTGACACTAACTTTTTCAACAAGTTTACCTACCGCACTGCTCTGACCAAAGCACACCCATCAAACAAAATGACTTTCGCTATGAATTCAGAGTTTGTTGAATTTTGAAAATGAATTGCAATCCATTTTGAATCATCCACTTTGAATGCAAATGAAACAACAGAACAAAATCTTCGAATTTTCCAGCCATTCCCTACCTCCCAGCCACTCACTGGTGTGCTTCTTTGGGAGCCATGACGGCGAAGATTCGAAATATTTACGAGAATCAGTTCATCTTTGCTATGATACCATTGGGTATTTACAATTGTTGCTTTTAAAATTTCATTTTCCTGTAGAAATCAATGCTGGTTTGACTCCCTATATTGGTGTTGAGAGAGCCGGTAACAACACGTGGTCATACGCTGATGGATCGCCGCTAATTTATGCAAATTGGGCTACAAGTTGGTTTACAGGGGCTCAATAGCTAGTATTTTTTCAGATGTTGCCAAATTTTTTGCGCAGCTGGGTCATTTGCGCAACTAGGTCTTTTGCGTAACTCGCCATAACTTTCTTCTAAGTTGGCCAATATTTATGATTTTGGTTTCATTTTGTTGCACTTATTGAGATCTACAAAATGAAACCAAAATCATAAAGATTGACCCACTTAGAAAAAAAGTTAGGGCGAGTTGCGCAAATGACCCTGTTGCGCAAAAAGAATTGCGGAAATTAGCCTACCCCAAAAGATTCGATTACTTGGCTAAATTACTTACAAGTTTATCATTTTCAGATGAGCCACAGCTCACAAACACGAGCTTCTGTGCAGTCATGAATCCGGACACCGCGAAATGGTATTCAGCTGATTGTTCAACTCCCCGGCCATTCATTTGCACAGCTGTTCAACCAAGTAAAAATTTGTGGCTTATTCTTCATTTATAGTTAAATAGCTTGGCCAAATTGTTAATGCTATCAATTTGAACGTTCAGACACAACAACAACAACAACCACGACGGCTACTACGACTACGACTCTTCAAACAACAGCACACTCAAGTATGTTTTACAATAACATGACTAATAACCTTTTTATTCTAACTTTTGTATAAGTTTGTATTTTCTAGCTATTTCATCAGTCAATTTTCAGCTCCAACATGTTCCGAAGGGTGGACTTACTACGGGAACACGGATTCGTGTTATTATTTGCATGTAAGTGCGCAAAAAAGTTGTCTCAAGCTGCTAAATGACATTAAAAATGAGCACTTTTTAGAATTTCACCTTTGACAATCAGGATACCTGGAAACTGTACGACTTTCAAATAGCCGAAGGGCAATGTCAAATAATGGGAGCTCATTTGATTTCGATTCATTCGGCTGGCGAAGATGCAATTGCTTACGGTAACAGAGTTTTTTTTAGCCAGAGATTTCAATAGAAGTATTTAAATCAAAAACACACAACTCTCAAGCATTGTTAATTTTAATTTTCTTCTACTCGCTAGTAGACTGATGTTAAAACATTTTATCTAAGCTTTCGACAAGGTCAATAATCAAAATAGACAAGTCATTCAAAGGGATAAACAAATTTTCAGAATAATTTTCTCTTCAGAGCTTCTAATGTCAAACGTGGACTACATTCGACCGGTTCCAATCGAGAATCCGTGTGCCTATCAGTGGGGATGGATTGGGTACTACAATTGGGGAAATGGAGAGAAAGGACAGGGCAACTGGACTGATGGATCACCCGTTGATTACATCGATCGAACGTCGTTTCCCCGATATCACTACCGAATGGTGGGTTGGGCTGGAATCTTAAAAACAAGAGAAATTTAAAAAAAATAGCAGCATTTTACAAAAATTAACGACTCGCTGCTCTTATACAGGGCGCGGTATTTATGGTGCGGCACTCTACAAAAGTATGATTTTCTCAAAAACCGCAAGAGTTGACAGTTTTTTATACATGCCGCACCAGCTAAATGCAGCTAAATCAAAATAGCCCTCATAAAACGAACTCGATTTTTTACGGCTCCATTTTGGCTATGAGTTTCTGTAAATCGATAAACTTTGAAGATTCTTATAATTGGGTTTTTTCAGATTGGCAATGACCCTTCATGTGGAATTCGAACTTGGTCATCGGCTACCGCTTACGCTAAATTTGCTCGTTTCATATGTAAAATGCCGGCTGGCCGAAAGTTAATAGAATAAAGGGTGTTTTACTGAAGTTAGCCATTTAAATTTATTGTCTTTCTTTGACTCAAAAGCTAGTGGCCAATCGGAATGACGAGTGCAATCCAGTTAGAAGCAGTCACTTTTCGAATAAGTCCCCATTTGATCCATTCAATCAACATATTTCGATGGGTTTTCGAAGCAAAAATCACGAGGAAGCCGGTGAAAATCGAGTGAATAGTGATGATGACTGGACCAATTGCGCCCACTGTAACCAATTTTATTCAAAAACAACGGCAAAACAAAACCGCTTTGCGCGTAGTTGCTCTCTGTGAGTCGAAGCAGCGATAAAACCATGCAAAAACTTGGAACAAAAACAGTAGGTGACAAAATTTTTGTTTAAAATCATTTTGCAAATTATTCAGTCTTTACTTCTAACTTGTACTGCTATAAATTTCGTCAATTCATTCAACATTTCCTTAGTTCGTTGACTCATTGGTTGCGTCTTGTATACAGTGAGATAGGTATATGACATAGAGCAAAAGAGCCATCCCAGAAACGAAAAGAAGTGTGAAAACAAGTAGAATCACCGTCACACCGTCTTCATTTGATTTGCAGTGATCTGACAGTAGAGAATCAATGGTAAACTTTGGTCACAAGTGATTGGAAATCGAGGGCAAATATGAAAAAAACAAAAGTTGGACTTTTTCGTGTACTAAACTTGTAACGAAAACATATGTCGGTCCTTTTTTGCCGTTTGCAATTCAAGGTTTTTCGTGCTTTTCTCAGTACCAACCCTGCGATTTTGACTATTTTGACTATCATTCGAATAAAATGCGCACCGCAATACCAAAATTAACTCAAAATATAATATCTATGCAAAGTTATGAGGTAAAAGGTTAAGCCGCACCCATAATGGGCGAAGTTTAGGTTTTTAGCCAACAAAGTCAAAACAGCGCCCGTTTTGATCAATATCAAAGTAAAGACAAGCAAACAAAAAACCACTCCCACAAAACCGTCAACAAAAAAGATGCATAAACTTCGAAAGAAGAGGCATGTAACCGAATGTTGCTGAGCAGCTTTGCAAAGCGAGCACACCAAAATGCAAAGAACATTGACATGGAGGAGGAGCACATAAGCAATCTGAGAGTATATTTGACAAGCTGTGTGAATGACTGACCAATACAGTGAAATATAGTTGTCGACTGTTGATGTAGGGCGAGATCGACATGTAAATATTTAGCTGATAGATGAAAATTCGGCGAAGAAACGCCACCAAAATGTCGCCAATAAGAGAGAAAAGTGGAAAAGAATTTTTTTGATGAAAAGTGTAAAGAAATATTATTTATTTTTAGAAATATTATACGGCAATCCTCACTCAAGACCCGCTATTTCTTGTTTTGAGATATCTGATCTCACTTGATTTTCACTCTCTTGGACTAAAAAAATGCCTTGAACCTTATTCAAATAGCCGACCGATTTGGAATTTTGAGCTCTCTGTTCTCACTTGAGCAATTTTCACACAAATCGATAATTGAATTAAAAGAGATGATAAACAAAAAACAATTTCGTCCAAATTCGGGCACAAACTTTCACACGAAAGTGAAAAAGAAGCGGTCAAATGAACAACATTTCCCTTGTAGAGGCTTTAAACACAAGATATTCGGCTAACGAGCTGCAAAACAACAATCATTTGCGGTGCGAAATAGAATTAAGTAGGAAACTTTTTTAGTGGCTATTCGCCACCACAAAAAGGCATTTGTATCCTAGATTTAATCAACAACATAGCCTTAGCATCACTGGCTGTTTAGACAACGCAAATGTCAACAAACCAACAAACAAACCAAACCAGCAATCAAATTTTGATAGATTTTCCTGAGTACCTTCGTGTGATAAAACAACAAATATGGAGCCAAAACGAAGAAAATGATTGAGAGAATCAAAATGATTGAATAGCATGGAGAAATGAAATCGATTATGGGCTGAGATGGGAAGAACATTTGAGGATGAAATGAGCTGAATAAGAATTGTGATTTTGATGGGACACAGCGGGACATGCTCATTTGAAAAGGGTGGCCATTTCAAGGTTGCCAACCCAATAAAAAAATTTGTTTTTTGAAGAAAATCACATTGGCGCTATAATTCAGTTTATGTGTTTCCTAATGAAAACATAAACAAAAACAAAACAGATCAAGAAATTTACCAAAGCTAGTCACCTCTTCACTCATTGAAAAACTCTGAAACCACAGAAATTTCTTCTAATAAATCAGGTGTTCTCAGTTCAATTTTTGCAGTTTCCGTTTGTGAAAGGTGAAAATGATTTGATCTTTGGTGAATAATGAAAATAGTATCAATGACTTAATGTGACAAAATAAGCATGCACAATTCCAGCTTGTCTAACGTCTTTAGATGTTGCAAAGACTTCAAAATTGAGTTGTGTTTGCGCTTTTAAATCATTCAGTCACTAGTTTTGAGAGAAGAGTACATAGCTTCTTAAAATTTTCTGATAGTATTCTATTATTGCGTACTGTACTGTAGCCATGTCTCTATTTGAGTCTGCGCTGTGAATGTTTACTTGGAAATCCTTGTTTGACCAGAAGTTCAACCCATTTTTTCATTTCCTCAAATGTGCGAACATTGCTATATTTTATCGTTTTGACATCACTCTTTGAAAAAACCGAAAAAAGTTCTGGAGATACTTCCGTCAAAGAAGTTTCTTTGCACGGTTTATTCGTCGTCGACAGATGGGCCAAAGTCAGTTACCTGGAAGTTGGAGACTTGATGAGTATTCGGATTGACGATTGAGTGAAAAGACTCAATGATTTGTGGAAAACACAAAACCACGTTGAGGCTATCAGAATCATGATCAAAAATAGTAGCTTTTAATTGTAAATTGCCCTGTGACTTTCCCAGACCAACAAGCGAACCCCAAATTAATCTTTTTTTGCACATCAGCTGTTCGCTGATCCTTTAATCCCAAAATGGTCTCTTGGAGGTTAACTTTGTAAAATTTGGGCATGTTTCAGTCGATGAGTTTGTTTCAGTTTGTAACTTATTTGAAAAAAAAACTTTTTTAAATGTACTCTAATTCAAGTTCAGAAGTTAGAACTACCTTTGTGGGGTTTTTACGCTGAACATTGAGGAACATGATTCGTGAGAATTTGAGCGGTTTTTGCAGGATTTCAAATTGACAAGGCTTTAAAGAGGGACACAAAGAAAGACATGTTCAGTCATTTCCGGCCACACAGTTGAACCACTTTCAGCTAGCTTGTTCAGAAATTGTTCCAGTTTAAAGCTCATAATTTAAATCATTTTCTGTTTAGCATTTGACCCGATGTTTGCAAAATATTTTGCGAATACTTTTATCTGAAAGAAAATTGAATCGTTTCCAGTTGATTCAAAGATCGTAGCTTGCTAGAGAAAGGCACGGACTCAAGGTGAGCTTTTGTCTGAACAGCTAGTGCACTTTAAAGAATCAAGGTACTTCGATGATCTAGTGGATAACGCCATAGGCTTCCCCACAGGATCAGGGTTCAGTCCCTGGTGTGTTTTTTGTTTTGTTTTTCTTTTGCAGCAACTTTTGAGCATTTTGTAGCTAATTGCATTATGGCGCCTTGCAAAGTAGAAATTGGCTATTCGAGTTCAAGTTGATACACCCGATTCGCATTCCTCATACCCGATTCTATAAAGTGCATCTTTAGTTCGTGCCTTTCCTTAGTCAGAGAATTTTTTTGTACAAACAATTGGCTTTTCTTCTTGACAACATTCTCCTTCGCAACTACATTTTCTGTTTCAAAGAAGAGAAAAATTTCAATGCTTATTGTAGTGTCCTTTGAGGTAAACTTTTGGACAAGAGTTTGTTGTATTTGAGGGATAAGTTGAATCTCTTTAGATTCACTTGTCCCAAAAATTTTTCGGTGCAAAGAGTGTAGTTTTTTTTGTATTTTATCCCAAAACAAAATAAAATGCTTACAACAAAAATTTGTAAAGCCATTTGACTTAAAAGAAAGAGATCCAAGTGAGCAAATTTGCAAAGTTCCAACAAAAAAAACCTCTAGAGCCGTTCCTTCTGTTCTTTTAAAATGCTTTTAAGTAGGATTTTTGGTTTATCTAAAAACATTCCTATTTTTTGATCCTCGAGCACATACTTCACATTTAATAGATTTATCACCGACACAACGGAGAAATAAATTCATTAGTCATTCACCAAATTGTTTCCAATCACTTTTTTTTACCCGGGAAAACAGGAAATACGCCTGGGCCCGAAAATGTAGTTGTCTCCGTGTTTGAATCAAATTGTCGTCAACAAAGAAAAGTTCAACGCATGAAAAACTCACTTATATAAAAAAGAAATACACTTGGAATTTATAGGAATTTGTTTCATTTCTGGCAATGCCGCAGAATTGGGGCGATTTGCAAGTCCTATGGATCGATTGGATCTCCGGAGCCGGGATTCTGCTCAATTTCCTTCTCCTATATTTGATCAAGACTGACAGACATGTCAGTTTCGATAAAAAAATTATTAAAATTCATTAGAAAGTCGAAGTTTTTTTGACAACTTTATTAAAAACTGATCATACTTATTTTCGATCCTTCAGGCCTTCAAAGAAAATAACTTCATAAGGATTTTTTCTTCTAAAGTAATGATAGTTTGAAAATTGAATTCAACAGCTTTGTTTTCTTTCAGAAAGCCGGTGATGGCTATCGTCGAATCTTGATGATCATCTCTTGGTACAACATCTTCTATGCTCTCGTTCATTGGATTGTGGGAGTGGTGGGAAAAAGAACAGGAATAGAAATGCATTTACTCATTGAGTTCAGGCAATCCTAGTCGATGAGGCCGGCTATATCGCTTTCAGCTCTCGTTTTGCCCGGCACAGCTTCTGGGCATCGTATGCTGGAATACAGGTGGGTGTTCTTGGTAGCTCTTGGTAGAAAAATAGGACAACAAAGGTTCTGAGAAAGTCATGATTATTCCAAAAGCCAACAGAATTAAACTGACAATTGTCTGAGAGTCAAAACCTAAATGAGTAGGTAAAAAAGGGGGTTGACTCTGTAACTTCTCACCTTTACTTGAAAACTTGATTCAGTTTACTTTAGTAAGTATAGTTTACTAAAAAGTTAATTCTCTCATTCATGAATATTTTTCCTTTAGATATTTTTTCTAAAGGTTGATGTGTTGCAAAAGCAGATTTTCGCATTTTCCCATTAATTTTCCCATTGCCAGTTTTGTCACCTCATTTAGCAAATAAAGCGTAAAGAAAAAAAATACAATCCAATTAGTACAACTGCTAATTGAATTACTTGCATAATAGTCTCAAGACTCTAGTCTAATCTAAAAGCTACTCACAACAAACACACAGTTGGAGTATCTTCGGAAATTTCCAGGCTCAGGTGCTAGGTTTCGATAGTTTTGAATACCCCGTGGGTATATAAGTTTCGCTGGCATCCAAACCATGACTCTGTGAGTCATTCAAATAAGTTTGCCTTGCGAGTGGATGTATGTGATTCATCCTTGGTACTGATAGACTGGCGTTGCGTTGAAGGACCACACAAAAAGAAACGCCAACCAAAACTCTCGAAAAGGAATTAGTGTGCACAAAGGCATGAAATGGCGGAAATTATGGGATCTGGGGCATGACTTAGAAAAGAGGGGAAGACAGGATTGAGGGTATTTAATTATACAACAGTTCTTCACTTTTCCAATCTTCTATTTATCCATCTTTAGGTTTTCATCGCCTCATTCATTATGTCTCTCTCACTTTTGGCTGCTCATTGTCTGTATCGTTATGTGAAGATTTCTGGGTAATTTTTGCTGACCAATATGTTAACCAAGTCATTTTCAGAAGGTTCACTTTAATCTTCGAACGTTGGTATTGTATCCTCTTATTGATTGTCTGCAATTTGCTCTTTGCAGCCCTCGTTATCGTCTTCTCGAGTTTGACAGTGATGGTAAAACAATAATGAGTCTTGACGCATAACTTAAAATCTAGTTTAGTTAATATTTAGCTATTGAACGATAAACAAGTTATTCAAATCTTTTTAGCCAAGTCAGGCCAGAGATCAGATTAGCCAATTTGAGCTAATGGAACGCTACAACTTATCGATCGTCAACCTTGGCTATATTGGACCTGTGTACAGGGTTAGGTTTTGTTAAAACATTTTTTTAGTAAAATATTCAGACGATGAACTCACAAACTGGTCAATGGGACTATCGTTGGAAAGATCTCATTGGCATAATTGGATGTCACAGTCTACAAGTGATCACCTATATCGCTATTTGTACATGTGGACTTAAACTGTGAGTTACCCGTAAACTGTGTACCCGTAGTTGGGTACCGTGTATCAAAAAAATGAAACACTTATTGGGAACAAGCCAATCTACCAAGCTTTTATGGCAAAAATCAGTTTAAGCTTTAAGAAAAAGATGAAAACTTTTGAAATGTCCAACGATTAGCAGGTATTCTTTTCAGTTATTTCTTCCTTCATCGATCTCTCATCAGTCCAAAGGCCAAAGCGATCAACCTACAGTTGATGCGTTTGCTTCTGATTGAGGTAAATCGTCTTCATTCGATTTTCACTCAACATGTTCTAGGCCATCACTCCATTATTTTTCGACTACATCCCATGTTTTGTGGCAATGTGGGGCGGATTGTTAGGTGGGATTGATGGTTGATTGAAGAAAGGCTGAGTATGTGCTAGGAAAAACGTGTAATGTGACTTTTAAGTATATTTTTTTTGATATGATAAGTTAGGTTGAGTTTATTTCATGAACCACAGAATGCTTTTCCAAGTTTCAACTTTAGGTCTACCAATGAGCGAGGCTGCCTTCTACGTGCCAATTCTTTTCTCATGTTATCCAGCCGCTGAAGCACTGATGACTACTCTTGGATTTAGAGTAAGTATTGGTTTCTCCTTTTTGTCCGCCTTTTCGAAATTTTCGTTTATCAATGCATAATTCGCCGATAAACGTGTGGTTTGCGTTAAATGAAAAAGAGATTAACTTTGGCTCATTTTTAGGCAAATCTTAGTTCGCTTTAAAGCAAATCCAAACGGGAATTCTTGTTATTCCCGTTTGGATCCTTTCAATGGACATAGAATGAAAACGGCTTCGTGAAATGTTATGAAAATTTGTCTATTTGTCTAACTTTTCATTCTCTATCTTTTGTCTTCTGACACGAAAATAGGTTTCTGTGACAAAAAGTGCTCGAACCGGAACTTTGAGTTTCATCGTTTTTGACTGCTCGACTTCACACCTTCAAAAAATTGAGCTTTTCAAAATTTCTTAGAGCGCAATTTGTAAATAAATAATAGGGCTTTCTGACGAACAAACCATCGATCGATTGGTTCATTATTCATTTCAAAAAGTAACCTTTAAAAAAGTAGAAAAGACTTTCTGGCCAACCTGATAAAAAATAGAGTGAGTTCCTTGCGAGTAATGCGTTTTTTAAAACGCACACTTCGAAAAAAATTATCGTACTTTTAGCAAAAATTATTGCGAAAAATGGCGCAAAAATCACGAGCACCGCATTATATACGACACTTTTTAAAGATACTCAGCTGTTTAACTGATTTGGTTTGAAAAATCCCTTCGCAAGTAAAGATATTCAATTTACTCGACGTGTAAAGAGGATTACTCGTAGTTACTCGCGAGGAACACACTCTAATAAAAACCTTATTTTGTCACTATACTTTTGAATGAATTTAATACACCAAATGTTTTTCCAGGCCTATCGACGTCGTGTCTTTGGCTTGTGGACACCGGCGACGTATTCCGAGACGCATAGCTGGGTCGCATGAATGTCTATCTATTTTTCCGTCCGACTTTCAGATTTGTTTTCATTGGAAAATGAATAAAAGCAACTAAATTGCATCACTGTTGTTATGAAAAATAATTATATGTTCTGATAACAAATGGATCTATTAAGCAGAACACATGTGGCTTATAAAGCTTGTCTTTGTCCTCAGATTTATTGATTTCGATTGATTGATTTTTGAACATTCCCTTTGTAAGACTCACTTAATTAACGAAAAAAAAACATAAATGAATCACTTCCAATTTGACATAAATTCTTTGAAAACTGTGGCTTTGGAGTAAATTTCCCTAGGGATGAATCTGATCAAGACAAGTTTTGAACAAGAAATCTAATCGTTTCCAATGTCCATCTCAGCTTCTTCTGTGTTTATCATCTTATACCTTCAGCGACAAAAACACTCAATCTCCAAGAAAAGACTTCAATATGAAAGGTGACTTCTTTTTGCACGCATCATTCAAGTTCGAGTTTTAATAATTAAACAATGATGTTTTTAAAAAATGAAACAGGACGGCGCATTTCGCCGAATGGGACAGGTTGAGACGTGATGGGTTCGTCCCATTCCGACCCGTCCCAACCTGTCCCATTGCTCATGTCCACTTATAATTGACCAAAACAAGTTTAAATAGGTCTTCATTCCGTCGTTTGCATTTGTGATTCCGATCAATTATGGCTACATCACTTCTCGTCAAATTTTGTGGGTCCGCATTTTGCTTTAATCACTTCACGAAGTCTATCCGGTATTGAATCCACGAGTTTCAGCAAAAGATCTTGCGGAATCGTCGATCGTTGTTGAATGTGCATCCAAAGGGCCGTTTTTGAGTCGAACTTTCCATTGAGCCGAGCCTTCACAAAAGATGCTCACAAATGCTCAATTGGGTTGAGATCCGGCGAATAGGGAGGTGGATGGATCAATTTGACTCGATTTGCCGCAAACCAGCCGGGTAGATCAGCACGAGCACGGTTTCGAAGAGTGACCACCGTTCCCATCGTGAGCCTTAACTTGTGTTTCGGTTCATGATCCTGGTAGAGCATTCATCCGAGAGGAATCGTTTGTGTGGAATGCTAAATCAACCGTTTCAAATTCTTTTCAAATTCAAAGTCGAACTTTCCGTAGTAAAAAGAGCTTTTGTTTAAGTTGATTGTTGTTTGACTTTGTTTTTCATTTAGTTTGTTTGTTGTATCTTGAAATTCAGACAGTTGCTCACTAATTTTATTAATGTTGTTAATGGTTGTATTGCGGATAAAAATGGGTTTATGTCAATCAATCTTTTTAAAAAACTAGTTTTTGATAAAGGCTCACCAAGGCGCAACAATTGTGTAAGTGACTTACAAGAGGTTCGTCTATGAGAGGAATACCCCTTCAATAATTATGTTTAATAAATTTGCTCAGTTGGTTAACAAAAATTTGCTCGAACGTATTCAAGTTGGACAGTCGATGATTGGGCCTGCGTGATTTTTGTTGATGAAACAAAAGTCGATATTTTTCCTTCAAATCGAAATCATCTGATCCAACGTCCAATCGGAAAGCGATATCAACTCAAGTACTTGCAGTCTATGGTGAAAACAGGCGGAGGATCAATTATGTGTTTCAGTAAGGATAATTTTCTTTTTATCCAGCTCAACGTGATTTCTTTAGACGTGATGTGTAAAAGTTCCACGGGTCCACTTGTCCTCGTAAAGTCAACAATGAATTCCCGCCAATATATGGAGATATTGGACAGATGTTTACTTCCATTTGCGACTGCTTCGATGAATTCATGGTGGTTTCTTTAGCAAGATAATTCGCCAGTACACAAAAGCAAACTTTTGATGGGCCGCGTTGTGACTCTCTCGGCTGAAGGAGAAACACATTTACCGGGATGGTTTGGGATCAATCACGTTTCCTTGATCAAAGCGTCACTAATTTCACCGGCTTTAAATGTTGTCGAGAATCTATGGGCCTATTTGAAATCGAAATTGCGAGAAAAACGATTCAATCCCAAAGTCGAGCTATGGTTTTACATCAGAAAAATTTGGAAGGCGATTGGACCTTGTGTCCTTGATGAATTAACTACATCGATGCCTACTTGTATTAATGAAGTACTTTTGGCAAAAAGAAGGCCGACAAAATATTGATTATAGCTTAATTTCGTCTTGTGTTGAAAGACTTTTGCACCGCGATTTTCATGGGTGTTTTGATGCATTGCTTATTTTTCCCTCAGAATACTAGCAAAAGCACGGCATTTTTCTTCTTTAAATGAATTGTGGAAAAACCACCGCTAAGTTTTTCACATTGTTCACGATTTTCTTTGTAATGATTGTTGGAAAAGGGCCAAATCTTTTAAAAGTTGGGCTTTGGCCAATCCACCATCTCTGCGCCGAAATATAACGGTTTTTTTCCAGGTTTGTAGTCCCTCCCATGGGGCGAGACTACAAACTGCTATAAATTCATGGGTAAAAACCGTAAAAAGTCAAGAATTTAGTTTTCAAGCTGTACATTTGACTACACAACTGTACTTGATTCAATGAACACTTTAGAATGTAACTGGACCAGTGAACTGTTTCGATTTGGAGAACAAAGCCTTGGACAGTCACAAGCTGATCTTTTTGGGGAGGCAATTTCTGCAATGTTTTTCGGTCGAATCTGGCTGTTTTTACGGAGCACTACGAGTACGCCGTACCGTAAAATTGTGATAACGATGGCTCAAAAATCCGATTACATCAAAATGCTATGTGCACTCCAGATAAGCTTTCAGCAAAAAATTAAAAAATGCCCAACCGTTAGAAAAAACGGCCACCGCCCAGTGGGATTAAGAGCAACATTAATGCTTTTAAATGGGATAAAATTCAGGCATAATTTTTGGCTTAGGCTTAGGCTTAGGCTTAGGCTTAGGCTTAGGCTTAGGCTTAGGCTTAGGCTTAGGCTTAGGCTTAGGCTTAGGCTTAGGCTTAGGCTTAGGCTTAGGCTTAGGCTTAGGCTTAGGCTTAGGCCTAGGCTTAGGCTTAGGCTTCAGGCTTAGGCTCAGGCTTAGGGCTTAGGCCTAGGCTCAGGCCCAGGCCTCAGGCTCAGGCTCAGGCCCAGGCCCAGGCCCAGGCCTCAGGCCTCAGGCTTCAGGCCTAGGCCCAGGCCTTCAGGCTTCAGGCCTCAGGCCTCAGGCCCAGGCCTCAGGCCTCAGGCCTCAGGCCTCAGGCCTCAGGCCCAGGCCTCAGGCCTCAGGGCCTCAGGCCCCAGGCCTCAGGCCTCAGGCCTCAGGCCTCAGGCCTCAGGGCCCAGGGCCTAGCCAGGCCTCAGGCCTCAGGCCTCAGGCCTCAGGCCTCAGGCCCCAGGCCTCAGGCCCCAGGGCCCCAGGCCCAGGCCTCAGGCCTCAGGGCCCAGGCCTCAGGCCCAGGGCCCAGGCCTCAGGCCCCAGGCCCAGGCCTCAGGCCTCAGGCCTCAGGCCCCAGGCCTCAGGCCTCAGGCCCCAGGCCTCAGGCCTCAGGCTCAGGCCTCAGGCCTCAGGCCCAGGCCTCAGGCCTCAGGCCTCCAGGCCTCAGGCCTCAGGCCTGTGGCCAGGCCTCAGGCCTCAGGCCCCAGGCCTCCAGGCCTCAGGCCAGGCCTCAGGCCTCAGGC